GCCTAGACTTCCGGTCCCTCTCCAGTAGGAGCTCATAGCTACTATGTATAGTTCTGTCCATACATCAGGGAGTCCCCTCTCACATCCTGGGGAGGTCTTTGCAGCCAGCCTCTCCCTCTGACCCACATAAAATTTCCCACAATGAATCTCCCTTATGCTACTGCACAGTGAACCCTTGGGAGATGGCACTCCTGGGGCTCCGGTATGGGTGACAAGGAATACACCTGCTGCCCTATGTTCTTGAACCTGAATAGGGGACACGTCATCTTTTCTTTATCTTTCCCAGCTGTGCCCATCAGCTATGGCATGCAGAGGCCCGCTCCTTACACTTCGAGGTTCAGATGGTTTGGGGGGAAGGAATCGAGCCCCAGAAGGGACTTCCCCTTATACAAGGAACAACGCACCCCTTCTTTGTTATGGTTTGGACCTCAAGTGTCCCCGACAGACCCAAGTCTTGATGCCTGGTCCCCGGCTCGTGGTGCTGTTCTGAAGGTTCAGGAGCCTTTGAGAAGCAGGGCCTGGCTGGGCGGTGGTGGCGCACGCCTTTCGTCCCAGCACTCAGGAGGCAGTGACAGCTGGATCTCTGAGTTCGAGGCCAGCCTGATCTATAGAGTGAGTTCCAGGACAGCCAGGGCTACCTAGAGAAACCCTGTCTCAAAAACAAACAAACAAAAACAAAACAAATAAAGAAGTGAAGCCTGGCCTTTAAACGGTGGGGTGGAAGCAGGTCTTCAGGACTGAACCTTTGAAAGTTATACCTGTTTTGGGTTGTGATCTGTATTCTCTGTCCCCCAGCCTGCCACCGTGTGAGCAAGAAGCTGCCATAGACCAAGGTCCTCCACACAGCTTTCCCCACCATGACGGGCTTGACTCTGACTGTTGGGAACCCCGGCCATCACCCATCCTTCTCCCTAAGTTATTTTATCACAGTGATGAGAAAAGGAACAGATGCACACCTAACGCCAGGGTGTCACGTGCCTCCTCCCATCTCCGAGAGGAGACGGGGGCCTCTTCCAGAGATGGAACACTTCTATGTTAGACTCAGAAGGGAGGGATTCGAATCGGCCGTTGGAATAATTTTAGTTTTTGCTCTGAAATCACATTTCCTGACCTGCAACATTGCCTTGACATCTGTGAAACCAGGAAACTGATGAAGTCTCCTGGTGTAGATGAAATTCTAAACGGTTTTATTAAATAAGAAACACAGAGCCGGGGACTGGAGAGATGGCTCAGAGGTTAAGAGCAGCGACTGCTCTTCCAGAGGTCCTGAATTCAATTCCCAGCAACCACATGGTGGCTCACAACCATCTGTAATGAGATCTGGCGCCCTTCTCTGTATACATAATAAATAAATAAATCTTAAAAAAAAAAAAAGAAACACAGAGCCAAATACAGAGTTAAAAGCCCAAGAGATCCGAGCACTAGCGAAGAGCCAAGACCACCTTATCTTACCACTCACTGCCATCCTTCCCCTGAGAGAGAGACCTTCTTCCTGTGTGTCTTGAGTTTTATTGCTTTCCTGTTCTGCCTTCTCATTGGCTCTAAGCCCAGCCACATGACCTCCTCATCACTGCCTGTCTATACAGACCTCCAGGTCTCTATGGTTGGTACTGGCATTAAGGGCGTGTGTCACCATGCTTGGTGTCCTTGACCACACAGAGATTCTGCCTGCCATGTGATCAGATTAAGGGCATGGGCTACCACCACCTGACTTCTATTCCTGGCTCACTAATGACCTCTGATCTCCAGGCAAACTTTATTTATTAACATACAAATAAAATCACATTTCAGCACAATTAAAATATCACCACATCCTGGCATCTTAAAAATTGGACCTGTGAAATTGGCGTGCCCTAATAAATGGCAAGCCAAAGGCCCAAGGGCATGTACATGTCATTAGACACCCCAAACTTGCCCACAGAGGTACCCTGAGCACCGTGGAGGTTCCCTACTACACCCTGTCCTGTGTTCCATACTCCATTCCAAATTCTTCTGAGATCACCTCTTCTTTAGATTTATCTGTTTATTTTGCGGTACTGTGGGTGTGAGCCCAGGGCCTTCTACAATGCCAAACAAGTACTCCACTGAACAGAACCCCCGGTCCCCTTTTACTTTTTATTTTGAGACAACATCTCACAAGGTTGGCAAAGCTGGTTTTGGACTCACTCTGTAACCCAAGCTGGCCCTGAACCTCTGATCTAACCTAAGTCTCCTCAGTAGCTGGGATTACAAGCCTGGGCCACTGGGCGAAGCTAGCCATTCCGTTTAATACATTACCTGCACCTGCAACAGCCCCTCAAGGTTTGACGTAAGACCCCGATAGTTTGCGAAATAGTGAGAGAGAAAGGGGGGTCCCACAGAGCCAGACACCCAAAGAGGCAATGACTTCCTTAAAGCCATGGGTCAGATGGAAAAACACAGGTTGACCAAATCAGAAGACTTGGTATCTAAAAGCAGTCCTTCTTCAAGTGGGTAGAAGTCACCTGGGGGTCACACACAGTAACATAATCTTCTAATCCCCAAAACCCAGCATGGGGGGACCGCTGTGCTAGACACGGTCCATGCTCCATCAGACATCGGGGACCCCTTCCTAGTTTTTATGACTCACTGGTTTTTATGGCTCACTGGCCTCCTATAACCAGAAAGGGCATCCTCTGGCCACTGGCTGATAGTGAAGTCTGCTCTTTTGCCAGGGCTGAAGTAAACAATGGTAAAATTTGCATGACGTAAACCATAGCCTTCAAAGCCATGCCTCTGACCACTCACTTCTTTCAGACAGCCCCCACCTCCTGGTTCTATCACTTCTCAATAACGCCATGACACGATCAATCTATCAATGGGTAAATCCATTGATTGTCAGAGCCTTCAAGATCCTATCCCCTGGGCTGGAGAGATGGCTCAGAGGTTAAGAGCACTGGCTGCTCTTCCAGAGGTCCTGAGTTCAATTCCCAGCACCCACATGGTGGCTCACAGCCATCTATAGTGGGGTCTGATGCCCTCTTCTGGAGTGCAGGTGTACATGCAAATAGAGCACTCATACACATAAAATAAATAAATAGATCTTTAAAAAATCCAATCACCTATCAATAATAGTGTCACCAGCTACGGGCCAACCCTCTAACACATGAGTAGCTGGAGGTAGGTTTCAGAGAGAGTCTATGCATAAGAAGGGGCAGGGGTGTGCTTTTAAAAAGGTGGACATTTTCAGGGTGATTGAAGGACACAAGGTGGTAATAAAAAGCACCTGTTGGGGCTGGAGAAGGCTCAGAGCCCACACCGCCCTTCTAGAGGACCCAAGTTTGAGTCCCAGCATCCGTATCAGCTGATTCCCAAACACCTGTAACTCCAGCTGCAGGGATATCCAACCTCTGGCCTCTGGGCACCTGCACTCATGTGCACACACCAGACACACAGACATAATTAAAAGTCATTAAAAAAAATTTTTTTTTTGAAAAGTAACTGCCGTACCGGAGTCCAGAAGAAGAGTGTAAAAAGTTGAGTTTTCACACTTTGGCTTATACCCACCCATACTGAAAGGACCATGAAGAGTAGCTTTTCCGTGTGGCCCAGGGAAACAGCTGCTGTGTAGGGCCAGTGTGACTCAGCCCAGCAGAGTGAAGGCAACTCTGCTTTGTGTTTCCTGGTTTGGGAGGGACGCTGTTTGGGTTGATGAAAACTGTCCCGCTTGTCTTTGTCCTTCAGGAAGTGTGCCGGCAAGGCACCAAGCAGTGTGTTCCCAACTTCCCCGTTCTGGTCCTGGGAGGGGAATGCTGCCCCCTGAAGAATGCTTGGGGCCCGCTGGAGCCAGGTCAGGTGGAAGCCCAAGTGCCAAGCAGTCATTTCAAGAGATTGATGGAGGGGGCGTGTGTCCTGGGGGAGGCTAAGGCCTGGTATAGTTCCATTGCTCTTATTTACAGCCCACCCCTGGGCATCCATCACCCCCTGACAGCTCACCATAAACTGATGACTGTGGCCTTCCTGCCCAGCCCTTAGCTGGAGCCATGCTAGCCTCAGAGTCACAGACAAGTGGAGGCATGGAGAAGGAGGTGACAGAGCGTGTCCTGACCCCTATGAGCTCATTAGCTAGAGAGAAGGTGTATGTACACATGCTTGCACCCCTAAATGTTTTTATAGCCAACATTTGTGAGATAAACATAGCACAGATAACTTGATTCTTCGTTTAGTACAGGAAAAAGAAGCACACGTAACCTGAGCAGTAAGTAACCCAAGCAGTTGTTTGAAGCTGCTTTGGGGAGAAGGCATCAGAGAGTCTTTGCTGTCTTGGTTAGTTGGTTAGTTGCCTGGCTTTTACTGTGTGTGTGTAAGAGTATGTATGTATTTGGCTGGGCAGCGGCGCACATCTTTAATCCCAGTACTCAGGAGGCAGAGGCAGGCAGATCTATGTGAGTTCAAGGCCAGCCTGGTCTACAGAGCAAGTTCCAGGACAGCCAGGGCTACACAGTGAAATCCTGTCTTAAAACAACAACAAAAAGAGTATATATATATATATGTCTACGTGTGTATGTCTTTGTGTTTGTATGTATGTATAAGAGAATGTGTGAGTATGTGAGTCTGTGAATTTATGTGTGTTTGTGTATATATATATGTGTATGTGAATACGTGTGTATGTATTGTGTGCATGTATATGTGTATCTGTGTGTGAGTGTGTCTATGCATCTGTGCATGTGTGTGTGAGTGTGTGTGTGTGTGTCTGTGCATGCATGAGAGAGAGTACATATTTGTGTGCTTCTTCAGACAGCAGGTATACTAGTGCATTGGTTCTCAATGTGTGGGTCACGACCTCTTTGGGGTTGTCACATATCAGATACCCCGCATATCAAATATTTACATTACAATTCACAACAGTAGCAAAATTACAGTTGTGAAGTAGCAACAAAATAATTTTATGATTGCGTGGGGGGGGGGGAGGTCACCACAACATGAGGAACTGTATTAAAGGGTCACAGCAGCATTAGGAAGGTTGAGAACCGCTGTACTAGTGGAATCCAACGCAATATGGCTGCATGTGTATTTCCTGTGTTTAGTCAGCACAGCGGATGGGCAATACTCCAGGGGCTAAGGGATAGGGCATGCCCACATGGTCACTCAGTCCCAAGCGTATCCCAGCGGGACCCATGGCTAGGAGCAGCCACCCCCACTGTGGCTGGAGTGTGTGAGGACCAGGATTTGGAGTCAGAAGTCTAGGTGAGGGTCCCCAGTGAGACCCTTCCTTTATTGATGGCAGGTCTTTGTCCCTCCCTATCTTGTCAGTGGAAAGGGTGCCAATCAAATGACCCAACACAGAGCTGAAGGGCTGAAAACCCCAGGTGCTCCTGGGAGGCGGCCGCAAATCTCCGCTTCGGGGCCCCTGAGGTACAGTGTAGGCCTGGGACTTGGACAGATGGTTTCCATGGAGGACAAACAAACCTCTACGTGCCCCAGAAGACACAGCCGTGATACGTCAACACCTTAATGGTCTAGAGAACACATCCTCACCAATGCTGCGTTTGCCCTAACGCATCCATCTTGTGTGGTCAAGAGATACAGCTCACGGTCTGTCCTCAGAGAGCTTACCTTTGACATACCAGATTCTCTCTCCCTTCCTCCTCCCACCGGGTAAACCTCCGTGGAACGCGTCTGGCCAGGGAAGGCAGCTGGTACAATGACCCCCGTCCCTAAGTGACCAAAATGCAGCAGGAGAGACGACAGCCACTGTGACCACTTGGTTAGAAAAATGCAAGGACCCGCAGAGAAGTGTTTCTGTCCATTGCCAAGTGACAAACTGTCTTCAAATGTCAGGGTTTAAAATAGCAGTGCTCACTGAGGCTCTCGCGTCACTGCGGGTCAGGGTGCAGAGAAGGCACGGGGCGGGGCGGGGTGGGGGGGACGACACGACAATCTGTCCGTGCCATCGGGTACATCCTCTCCCCGTGGCCAGGACTCCCTCGTGCGTCCCCATGGCGAGAGGCAGAGAGAAGGGTTGTCCTTCTGAACTCAGCTCAGGAGTCACAGGCAGGGCTTCATCACCAGTCCCCCACGGAAGGGACACAGACTCCACCTCTGGATCGGGACCATCCTGCAGGCTGGGTTGAGCGTATGGGAGGGGCCAGTTTGGAAGACCCAGCCCGCTCTGTTAGGAGAATGGGATGGAGGCATCCAGAGAGACGTTCTAGGAGAGGCGACGCTTGGCCTGCATCTTGAGGACTGGAGAAATGAGATGTGAGAAGGGGAAAGGAAAAGATTCCCGGGGGGTGGGGGGGGGGGGGTGGGGGGGTGAGGGCGGGGCAGCATCCCCACAGGCCAGGAGGCTGAAGAGGCAGGGAAAGCGAGCCAGCACAGGCAGTTTCCTGAGGTGGGGAGGAACGTGTGTGCAGCGGGGGCCGAGGTGGGGATGCAGCTGCAGGGTCAGGGAGCTTAACCCGGAAATGTTCCTGGGCCCACTGGCTGCCAGCGCCTCTGAGAACTAAAGGAAATGAGGTCTTAGGTGTTTCCACGCCGTTTGGGGGACCTGGATTAAAGTCTTCGGTTAAAGTGATCTAAAGGGTCTCTTCCTGCCCGCGCATCTGTGGAAGCAGAACGGACTGAACTACATTCCCCAGGAGGCTCATGTGGTAAGGGGGTGCCTTGGGGAAATGGTTAGCCCCTGAGGACTCAGACCTAATCCCTTGGTGGAGTCATCATGGGATGGTGCTGGGAGATGGTGAAAGCAGGAGGTAGGGACTAGGACCCGGGTCCTTGGAGTTGTACCCTGGGATGATGCACCTTGTCCTGGGCCCCTTCCTCCTTCTCTGTACATCCTAGCCACCACGAGTATTATTCTATTTAGCTTTGCTCTGCCAAACTCTCTCACTGGCCACAGCGATCAAACAAGCTGACTGTTTGTTAGGGTTTCTGTTGCTGCGATGAAACACCATGACCAAAAGCAGGCTGGGGAGGAAAGGGTTTATTGGGCTTATACTTCCACATCTCTGTTCATCACTGAAGGAAGTCAGGACAGGAACTCACACCAGGCAGGGACCAGGAGCTGATGCAGCGGCCATGAAGGGCTGCTGCTCTGTCGTCTTACTCTGCAAATGGGATTAAGCTGAGGACTTGGAGAGAGGGGCTGTTCCTGAGGTATTCCACTGGGTCCACCAGAGTCACAATGACTCTGACAAGAAGAGGGGTGAAAAGTCAGAATGAGGTGCCCGTGAGAAAGCTTCATCCCAGTATTGTGGGATTTGCTGATGATGGGAAGAGGAGGGCATGAGCCACAGGCCCTGGGTGACTTCTAGAAGCTGGAGAAGTCCAAGGCAGCCAGGAATGACGGCACACATCTGTGCTCCCAGCTCCTGGACTGAGGTCAGCCCTAAGTTAGCAAAGGTCAAAAACAAAAAATAAAAGAGCAAAGGACTGTGTTGTTTTAAAGAAACTTCAGAATAAAATGCAGCTAGTGGACACCTTGATTCCAACCAAAGAGACCTGCAAAGTCACATTGCATGTCTGTGGCAGCTTGATACAACAGCCATGGATACTAAGGTGTCTGAATATCTTTGGGATTCCAGTGATTTTTTAATTTAAATATGATTACATCATTTTTTCCTTTCCTTTTTCTTCCTCCAGCTCTTCTAATGCACCTCCTTGCAACTTATAGAAGAAGGGTTTTGTGTGCTTACATTTCTAGAGGGATAAGAGTTCATCCCCATCACAGTGGGGAAGCTTGGCAGAGGGAGGGCATCATGGCTGCAGCAGCAAGCTGAGAACTCACATTTCAAACCACAAGCATGAAGCAGAAAGTGAACTGAGAATAGCCTGGCTTTTTTTTTCCCAATTCATTTAACTTTATCTTATGTGCATTGCCATGAAGATGACTGATCCCAGGTTATGGGAGTTCCAGACAATTAGCCGACATGTAGGCGCTGGGAACTGAACCCACGACCTCTGGAAGAGCAGCCAGTGCTCTCAACTGCTGAGCCATCTCTCCAGCATGGCTTTTAAAGCCCAAAGCCCAACCCCAGTGACACACTTCCTCTAGCAAGCCGTCCCTCCTAAACCTCCCCAAACAGCACCGCCAACTGGGGACCAAGTCTTCGAACGTCCAAGCCTGTGGAGGCATCTCGTTCAAACCACAGTGATGCAAGTATCTGAGTCCCTTCTGTTTCTGTAAGCAACCTCTGCAACTAGACTTCAGCAGGAGTCTTACGCTGGCTGTCATTGGTTCTCTGCTTGGGGGGGGGGTGGCCATTTATCTTTATCTCAGGAAGAGTGTCACATGACACTATAACACGATGAAAGTGGCATTGCCCCAATCAGCTCCAGGCAAGTTCAGAAGACACAGATGAGCCACAGACCCAAATGACGGCTACCTGCACAAGGCCTGGCTCCCTCACGGTGGTCCTGAGTGGCAGCATTGAGGGAGAAGTCCCCAAGGACACAGCTTCTGAAGAGCACCATGCCATCTTCCTACATGAAGAGAAACACAAGAGAAAGCAGGCAAGGCCACGGGCAGTGAAGGAGGAAGATACATCAGACATCACAGAGGCCTTTTTGCCCCTGGCCTTGCTGTCCCATTCTCAGAAGAACTCCAATCTCGGTGGTAGTAGTTGGCTACATCGTACCCCTGAGCACTGGAGTGGGCTTAGACACAGGTGTTCTATATCATTCTACATGAAGGTCTGCTAGACAAGGTTTCTACATCCAAAGGGTCACATGGGAGGTCTGGGGCTGTGGCAGCCATTCTGTAACCACGAGGCAGGCTGAAAGGTCACGCACAGAGCTAGTGATGCTATCCCTGAGCCTCTCAGATGAACACACTCTGAGACTTGCGACAGGGATGAGCCAGCAAGGTCCACCACTTTAAGTCCATAGCATCCTCACTGCTACTAGAGCAGTCAGCAGAGGAACCTAAAGAAGGGCTTGGTAATGGAAGAAGGGGGAGCGGGTTTGCTGCCTGCAATGGCGGCTAATGTTCCTGGGTCCTCACCCCTGCCTCCAGTGCAGTTCTGGACACCTCACACCTACTAACTGCTTAAACCCTAAGGACACATCCTTTTTTTTTGTTTTTTGTTTTTTTTGTTTTTTGTTTTTGTTTTTTTTTAACAGAGTCTCACTGCCTCTGTCTCTCAAAGGCTGGAATCATACCAGGCCTTTGTTTTTTTATTTTGGTTTGTTTAAGACAGATCTCACCAGACTGGCCTTCCTCTCCCAGCAATCCTCTTGCCTCAGCCACTGGAGCCCTGAGATCCTGCTATTACAAACTGCCTCTCCGTTCTCAACACTTGCCCCTTAAGGCCGACTCTTGATAGTTGACAGTATCATGACACTGGACAACCCAAGAGGAGCCTTTGGAATGTCACACAGCCAGGAGAGCTTAGGAAAGGTGAGGCGGTCTATTGCGCTGTCCTGTGAGACACACAACGTATTTTCAAAGATCAAAAGCAAAGTGCCTAAGCAAAGTGCTGGAGGTCCAAAGCTTCGTAATTGACGATGGCCTAAGTTAGGCCAAGTGGTGGTCTCTGGTGGGAAGAATAGTGGACAGGGGTTATATTGTAGGCAGAGCAGAACAGCCGGGCGGAGAGTAGCGGAGGAGCATGTGAGACCGCTCTTAGGCACTGTGGTGTGAGGGGGAAATTGATGTTGGAGGGAGTTGGGGCAATGGCATCAGGTCTTTTAAGATAGGAGGTAACAAGAGGATCGGCCTTAGACGGCATTAGAAAAACCTTCTAGACCCTGGAAAGACCGCACAGAATTGGTGGCTCTCCCAGCATTCGGGAGACAAGAAGCGGATGAATCTCTGAGTTGGGGGTCAGCCTCAACTTCCCACCGTGGAGGTTCAGACCTGGGCTCCAAAGTGAGCAAGTGCTGTGAAGTGGGATCACCTGATTGCCAAGGGTGCTGGGCTCATTCAAAGTAGGGGAGGGAGAAATTTGGATTCCAGGAATCTGCTTCACTTTCATGGGTGGCTACAGAACAAGGAAAGCCAGGGCAGAGCGGTGGCAGGGACTCTGGGCTCAGAGGTCTCCAGGATCCTGGCATCTCTCCCAGCAGGCGACTGCGCCACAGGAGATAGAGTGGGCTCCTGACCACCTCCTTTCCCTCCAGCTCTGGACGTGGCCGAGCACAGGGCTCCCTCCTGACAGCGCGGCTCCCTGCACCCAGACAGTGGCTCTCCCTCCTCGGTGGCCGGGGATTAGCTCTCTGAGGACTAGCGACGGGATTAGCACGCGCGAAAGCGGCGCCCGGCCCGGGGATTACCGCACCTCCCACCCCCGACGTATATATTCGGCCGCTCGCGCCGGCGACCCGCGGGCATGGCGACTGCAGGCAGCGCGGCGAGCCGCAGGGACCCTGGACGACCCTGCCCGTTCTCCATCGAGCACATCCTCTCCAGCCTGCCTGAACGCAGGCCCGCGGCGCGGCCGCTGCAGCCCGTCGGTGGCCGGAACCCCGCTGAGCCCGACGAGCCCGAGGCGCCTGCCGCCGCTGCGCCCTGCGCCTGCTGCTGTTGCTGCGGCCCGCGAGCAGCACCCCGCGGAGTCCCGGAGCCCGCGTCCGGACCCGGTGAGTGCGAGCGGTGGGGCGGGGCGGGGCGGGGCGGGGCGGGGCGGGGCGGGCCCCGGGATCTCGCAGGGCGGCCGGCGGGGCGGGGCGGGGCGGGGCGGGGCGGGGCGGGGCGGGGCGGGGCGGGGCCCCGGGCCCCGGGATCTCGCAGGGCGGCCGGCGGGGCGATCTCGGCTCCAACCCTAACCCTCACCATCTGCCTGACGCGCCCTCGCCCCGCCCCGCAGGCGTGCGGCTAGCGTGGCCGCTGAGGCTGGCACCCGCCGCTCCCTCGCCCCTGACGGCGCCGAGCGCAGGCTCGCCGGCGCTGACCGGCACGAGCGGCCCCGGCCCGCAGCGGCGCACGCGGCGCCACCGCACCATCTTCAGCGAGGAGCAGCTGCAGGCGCTCGAGGCCCTCTTCGTGCAGAACCAGTATGCCGACGTGGGCACGCGGGAGCGCTTGGCTGTCCGCATCCGCCTGCGAGAGGAGCGCGTGGAGGTGGGTGTCCGCCCGCAGCCCGGAGGCCACTCCCGCGTCACTCTTCTCTCTCAAAGACCGACCTTCCAGAGTGTGCCTCACCTCATAGCCCTCCACGCTGGAGGGAAACCCCCCCAGGATCAGTGGATGGGGGGCGCAGGACCAGTTCCCCCAGCAGGTTCTTTGAGTGTCGCCGGAACTGGGGTTAAGAGTCGTTGTCTCGGCCGGGCGGTGGTGGCGCACGCCTTTAATCCCAGCACTCGGGAGGCAGAGCCAGGCGGATCTCTGTGAGTTCGAGGCCAGCCTGGACTACCAAGTGAGTTCCAGGAAAGGCGCAAAGCTACACAGAGAAACCCTGTCTCGAAAATCCAAAAAAAAAAAAAAAAAGTCGTTGTCTCTGACTTCGTCTGTCTTCCCCCTTTCCCCTGCTGATGAAAAATGCTTTCCATTCATGTCCCAGATGTAGGCAAGTTAAGAAATGTGCAAAACTAGTCAGGCACTGTGGCACACGTCTGTAATTCTAACACTCGGGGAGGTGGAGACAGGAGGATCATGAATTCATCAAAGTTGTCCTTGACACATAGCGACTCAGAAGCCAGCCTAGATTACATGGGACTATGAAACACATGGAGACAGAGAGAGATATCCTGGTTGCTAGTGGGCCAAGACTGAGGAGACTGGGAAATCTCCGTGCAGGGAGTCTAGGTCCTTTTCTGTGTGTGGATAAGGGAAGTGACGCAGGTCCATTCACCTACACCTCTGTGGTGAAGCCTACCACCCCGCTCACCTACAAGCCCTTCCGAAGTTCTTTGGGTGTGGGTCCATGGACCCTGAGCTGTCTTGGTCCCTCTCCTCCTCAGGTCTGGTTCAAGAACCGCCGGGCCAAGTGGCGACACCAAAAGCGTGCTTCGTCAGCGAGGCTCCTGTCTGGAACCAAGAAACCTCCCAAGGACAGCTGTTGACAGTGTCTGGAGTGTCTCCTGGTTTGGGCAGTGACGTGGAGCACAAGAAAGTAGGAGGGAGGGAGACAGACCTACTTGAACAGAAACTAAGAGAGGACCGCAGTCTTCCAGCTGCCCAGTGCTGAGAGAGAGGGAATCCAAGACCTCCTCACCTATGAAGGGAGGGCACATGGGGCAGGAACCAGAGATCTCCTGCAGGTAAAGAGCAGGTCAGCTTCCTCAGGCACCATTACTGCCTAAAGAGGCCCTAACTCCACCCAGGGCCCCAAATCCTCTCCAGTGGAGTCTCCCTCCCCACCTCCTGCCTGCCTCCGGGACTGGCCCCTCATCTAGTCTTCCACCTTCTAAGCCAGGCAGTGGCATCGGCACAGGTCCTCAAAGGTTCAGCACTGGACCTTGGTGTCAGGACCTGTGGAATAAGAAGGTTGGTATTTTCCAGATCCCTGAACCTGCTCCTTCATCTCAGCCTTGTGCTGATACCAAGAAATAAACAAGATCTACAAATTCCACAGAAGAGTCAGAATCCCAAGTCCAGATGTCTCAGGCTTCATTTCCACACCTATAGAGGGGCTAGCTCCCCTCCCCCTTTCCAGGGAACGGGGGGTCAGCACGTCTTAGAGAGCCCAGTTCAACAGGTCTTCATCCCAGTCCTGTGTTTCCCCCATCAGGATTAAAGCCGGTGGATGGTGGCAAGGCCTCCTGGGATTTGCTGTGGCCTCTAAGTACCACCAACTTGCTTCACAGGTGGGAGACCTTGGGCTTCTTGTCCTTGGAGGTTTCTGTACAGTGGCATCTGCCACTAGGGCGGGCAAGAGGAGATTACATTCAGGGAACATCCCACCCCACCATCTTGGGGAATTTTGTCTTCCCTTCTATAGTCATGGTCACACAGAAGTGTGTTGGGGTACACCACAGCATGAAAGCATGGCTTCCATTCCCTGCTGACCTGTGCAGTCAGCTGGAGGCAGCTAACACCCCTGCACCTGGCCTAATCTCCTTACTCTGTCTCCTCACAGGTCCTGGTGTGGTGATAATCTGTGAGAGATGTGGTCCATCCATGAAAGCTAAACTCTAGAACCAATGGCAGGAGGTCTTGGCACTGTGTAAAGATGGCTGGTTTGGAGAACACTGAGCAGGCATGTATCCCCAGCTAGAGCTGTTCTAACACTGCTAGAGACCTCCAGGATTGGCGATTCTCCTCCCCAGTCCCTTGGATGCACATGTAAGGCGCCACCAGACTCTTCTTCCTGAACTTTGGCCTTGCCTTCGAAGACTGCACTGTCTCCTTCAGACGCAGCTGTCCAGGAGGTCAGCTCACCTGCAGGCTTGGGCATTCACATTGTGCTGGGTTCCAGGCCCCTGACCTCCTCCGTTCTCCAGAATCTGAGCTCACTTGAGCTTCTGCCCTCCTCTCACCGTCACTGTCCCCTGAAGAGGCTCCTCGCAGCCCTCACCTGGCACCTGGCATTAGCAAGTGTCCAGAGGCTCCCTTCCAAGGCCTCTCCCATCTCCATTCTCTTCTTGAAAAATAATCAGTGTGTGTGTGCGTGCGTGCGTGCATGCGTGTGTGTGTGTGTGTGTGTGTGCGCGTGCGTGCGTGTGTGTGTGTGTGTGTGTGTGTGTGTGTGTGTGTGTGTGAGGCTCTGCCTCATTCCCTGCTGGCCCCTGGGCTGCAAGAGGCTCACTAGGTATGTGTCTCTGGAGGCTGTTGGGGGTGCCCTTCCTCTGTCTCAGGTTGGGCCTCGGGCCGTGCCTCTTCCCTAGGCTCCAGCTTGGTGGCAGACTTCTTATCGGCACCAGTGGGTTCAGGGGTCCATGGGGGCTCAGTGGCCCGGGAGCTTTCTCCCTCTTCGTTGATGGCTGCAGAGGACAGACCTCGTGCCTTGGGCTGCACCCAGCAGTGGCTGAGGATCTCATCAATGTTCAGCCGCCGGTTGACATCTGGCTGTAACATCCGGTAGATGAGGTCCTTGCACTCACCAGTCAGGTGTTTGGAGCGTGGAAAGTTGACGCGGTGCTCTTTCTGGATGCGTACCATCTTTTTGATGTCGGAGTCGTCATAGGGCATGGAGCCACAGACCATGATGTACAGGATCACACCCAGGCTCCAGATGTCATACACCTTGGGCTGGTAGGGGATGCCCTGCAGAACCTCGGGGGCCGCATAAGCCGCTGACCCACAGAAGGTCTTGCTGAGGACGATGCGCCCACTCCCGTCCCGCAGGCAGCGCTTGGAGAAGCCGAAGTCAGACAGCTTGATGTTGAAGTCCTTGTCAAGCAGAATGTTCTCGCACTTGAGGTCTCGGTGGACAACATCCAGATCATGGCAGTACTTGATGGCCGAGGCAAGCTGATGGAACTTCTTACGAGCATCATCCTCATGCAGGGCTCCTCGGCACTTGATGAACTCGAGGAGGTCGCCCTGGACGCCCAGCTCCATGACTATGTAGACCTTGCCCTCAGAGGTCTCAAAGATCTCGTAGGTCTTAATGATGGAACGGTGGTTGACAGTCGCCAGGATGTCCATCTCCCTAGGGAGGAATTTCTCCAGGAAGTCCGTGGGGGCTTTCTTTCGATTGATAATCTTGACTGCCACGTTGAATTTGAGGCCCTCAGAGTAGGCAGATTTGACTTTTGCATAGGAGCCCTCGCCCAGATTGATTCCTACGATGTAACCCTTCTTCCTTAGGACCGCGGCATCGTCCATGGTGCCAGGAGCGGCCGGTGCCGCCGCCCTCTACATCCCCTCCCGACACGGGCCAGCAGGCATTGTCCTCATTCCCACTGTGGGGAGGCGTCTGGTTGGGCTGGCCTGGACTTGGAGGAGTGGAGCGCTCAGCACTGTCACCAAGTGACCAGCGAATGAAGTCATAAAGCCAGGCTGCTGGGAGTGGGGACTAGGCTGTGGGCAATGGGGCCCCTGCAAGCCAGGAAGGCCTAGAAGGAGCACCCCCTCCCCACCCACTGGAATGAAGCTGGCATTCAGGCCTGTGGTAACCCTCCCTGGCCCTCCTTCTTGCTGTGGCTTCATTGTCACCAGCGAGGCCCAAAGGGAGGTGATCCAGGTCCATTCCCAAGCCTGTTTCCTTATCAGGCCTTGGGAACTGGTCCTGTGTGTTCCTCATTTCACGAGAGCCGATTCCCTGCCCTTTCTTTGGGGTTTGAAGAAAACCTCCTGTGAGCTTGTGACCCTGGAATCAGTGGAAGCTGCCCAGGTCCAGTCAGTCCAGTGGTGGTCCCAGTCTGCTGGATGAGAGCAGTTCCATGTGTGGGGTCAGGAGTTGGCAAGGGTCTTTGGGCAGAGTGGGCAGATGAGCCACAGACCTGGTGAATAGGTGTGTGTGTGTGGATAGGAGGGTAGGTAGTGCTAGGGGATGTACCGAGGGTCCAGGGTAGGCAGGTGTGGAGGATAGATACAAACGTTGGTAAGATAACCAAGCAAGCAACCGCTGAGAATGGCTAAGTCAGGAAAGGAGAGAATGTCATGAGCTTTTCTCTAAATCATGGGCAGGCCTTGTACAACCCAAGTCATTTTTAAGACGGTTGCTGTTAGAGAAGCCAGTTGGCTTTGAGATGCATGTGGAGGCCCAGGGCCTTGGACCAGAGCAGGCCACTGATGGTCTAGGGTGGGGGAATTGGGAACAGCCAGCCTGGGCCTTTCCTGGGAGGAGGGGACTGTGTTGGGCCTGGTGCTGGATGGCTCAGGGATTGATGGCCCTTAGCATTCTCCATAAGGAGCAAGCTTCTGAGTGGAGGGGTGGGGCTCACTGTACCCCCACCTTGGGTTTGTGAGTGGTGAGCAGGGATTGCATGAAGCGCTGCAGCACTGCTCACCATTTGCATGCTGCTCTGTCTTGTATTTTGTGCATTAATGTTTGTTTTGCAAATGGCATCTTGTATAATCTTGGCTACTTTAGAAGTCCTGTGTTCATTTTCACATCTCACAGGAGTCTTACGCTTACAGTGAGCTGCCAAGATGTGACCCAAGGATGCTGTGTTCAGAGGGAAAGCAAGAAGGCCTCTTTCTAGTGGAGGAGGCAGGACAGAAGGCTTCCAAGAGGAAGTGACATAACCCAGGTACAGAGGAGCCCCCAGGGAGACAAGAGGGAAAAGATGATATGGGGAACAAGAATAAACCATAGATGCCACCTTGAAGTCCTGGTCCTAAAGCCCCTGAATGCCCCTACAGATGGCTGAGCCAGACTCTTCTTCCTGAACTTTGGCCTTGCCTTCGAAGACTGCACTGTCTCCTTCAGACGCAGCTGTCCAGGAGGTCAGCTCACCTGCAGGCTTGGGCATTCACATTGTGCTGGGTTCCAGGCCCCTGACCTCCTCCGTTCTCCAGAATCTGAGCTCACCTGAGCTTCTGCCCTCCTCTCACCGTCACTGTCCCCTGAAGAGGCTCCTCGCAGCCCTCACCTGGCACCTGGCATTAGCAAGTGTCCAGAGGCTCCCTTCCAAGGCCTCTCCCATCTCCATTCTCTTCTTTGAAAAATAATCAGTGTGTGTGTGCGTGCGTGCGTGCATGCGTGTGTGTGTGTGTGTGTGTGTGTGTGCGCGTGCGTGCGTGTGTGTGTGTGTGCGCGTGCGCGTGTGTGCGTGTGCACATGTCTGCCTGCGTGTGTGCATGTGAACCACATGTCTGCCTGCTGCTGGTAGAGATCAGAAGAAGGTATTGGAACCCCTGGAACTGGAGTTGTGTGCCACCATGTGGTTACTGGGAACTGGACCCAGATCATCCGGAAGAGCAGCAAGTGCTTTTAAAGGATGAGCTATCTCTACACCCCCCTCCACTCTCTTTTTGATGTTTCTTTTTCATCCTCGAGCTCCAATCCCCACCTCTGTTGCATATATTTCCGTCTCCAGTCCAGGCCCCCCCTGACAACACTTGGAAACCCACAGCCTCCTCACACTTGCCTTGTGTACAGTGAGCCGTTGGCCTTGTTTAAGACACATGAGTTCTTGATCGCCAGTAGCCCTCTGTCCCTCACCTAATCACACCAGGCCCATCCAGTCTCACCTCCAAACGGGTCGGTAAACCCCACTGAAACTGGCTTCTCTGCACTTAAACTTGGTTAACCTGACAAAAACTGCTGGCTCCTTGCGCCATGACCATTGCAGCTTTTTCTAGTTATATTCACCGGAACCACTCAGCCTCCCTTTAATCCAAAACAAAAATAATATTTCTTGCCAGGACCCCAAAGATACTGTGAGCCTGGCTCTGCCCCCCAACCCGCTGTCACATCCATCCTTTTCACTGCACTGTGTAACCAAAGGCCTGCGCTGGAATTTGCCTTGCTCCATCCTGGGCCTTTGCCTGTCTTTTCTCGTTCCATGCCTATCCATTCCTCTTTTGGATACGATCTGCCTGGAAAATGCCACTTGATATATGTCCTGTGTAGAAGTCACGATTCTCTGAGTACAGACTTCTTGCAAGTCACAGGCGTGACTGGCTTGCTCATCATGGCTTGTTCAGCCTGCTTTGTTATAAAACCCAGGACCACCAGCCCCAGGGATGGCACCATCCGTAACGGGCTGGACCCTCCCCCATCAATCACTAATTAAGAAAATGCTTTACAGGTTTGCCTACAACCCAGTCATATGGAGGCATTTTCTCAACTGAGGCTCCCTCCTCTCAGATGACTAGCCTTTGTCAAATTGACATAAATCTATCCAGCACACTGACCGTGAATTGAAAATTTCAAAACCCTGAGCCAAAATAAATCTTTCATCCCAGGGCCACCGAGATGGCTCAGTAGATACAACACATGTTTTCTGTGTAAGTCCAATGACCTGAGTTTAATCCCTGGACCCCACATAAAGGTAGAAGGAAAGGATCAACTCCACAAAGTTGTCCTCTGGCCTCCACACATGTGCAGAGACACAAACACTCCTATACATACATGTCACACACAGGCATATCTGTTAGTCATGGGTACTTCCATGTGGCATCTGTGTGGGGCCCAGAGCCCAGGCTTCCATGTTCCTACAGGCATTCACCCTCAGCTCAATCACTTCCCTGCTCTCTGTGATGAGGTCACAAGTTCAAGTTGCAGAAAACAAGGCAGTATGGCTCCCATTGGTGTCCCACATGTTGCTCTGCCTTCTGAGTCAGTTCAAATGTCCAGGGATGGGGCCAGCCTGCTAAAACCCACTAGAAACCAACCTTTCAGTACAGCAGTCAGCAGCAGGACTGTGGTGCCCCTTCCGTGGTTGTCAACTCCAAGAAGCCTGCCAGCCTCAAATAAGTTCTTGGCCCAAATGACTCACCCAGACAGTAGCATTGCCAAGTCTTGCCTACACCTGGTACCTGTGTGGCAGCTTGTATTACTAGCCTTATAAAGTGCTCACAAAGTACTCTTACATGATCTTGATTCTGGAAATAGGGGAGGTGTGAACTCCAGTTATGGGTGGGAACTGAGGTCCAGGGAGCGTGGTTCACTTGTCCAAAGTCAACCTGATTGGTTGTCAGAACTGGGAAGGTGTCCCAGGCCTCACAGCATCTCCAGGCCAGGCCTGTTTCCACCACACTACCCTTGTTATTGGAGTTGTTAGGGTCAGAGCCTGGGCCCTCCGGGCCCCAATAGGCTGTTAGGCCACCTGTTCTCAACCCACCAGTTCAAGAGATGCCTAACAGTGAAAAGCAGAGAAAAGAGACGTACTCAATGTGGCCGCACTGGGAAAGGAACGGGAAGGGATGATAAGCCCAGATCTGTCTTTGAGGTACGCACCTATGGTTTAGGTTTAATAGAAAACAAGAGGTCTACATAGCTAAGCAGACCTGGTCAAGGTGTGGTCCCATGCACCATTGTTTGAGCTCCAGTCTCTCCTGATTCAGATGATCTGAAAAGTTGTCAGAACTGGGTGAAATCTCTTCCCCCAGCATGACACTCCCAGGGAAATCCCAGTTCCTTGGGATCCATTGTCCCAGTAGTCTAACAGCCAAAGGGTAGGGCCCAAGTGCCTTCATCCCTACCAGGTCAGTTACATCCTCTCTCCCAGTCCTGAGGCCTGGCATATCGCCAAGCTGCCTGATACCATTTCATGCTGTCCCCCCAGAAGATTCACTTTTGGGATGGGGTGACTCCAATGTGAATCACCTTTTCTCCCAGCTAGGGAAGCATGTTTCCTCAAATGAATGTATAAAAAACACTGCTTGATCTGAGTAAAATTGCAGCAGTTCACAGCATACTCTGGTGTCTGTGTCTGTCTGTCATTCGCCGAATCCCACTTATCCTGAGTACCTTCAACCCGTTCTCCCTCGGTCTGGTGTTCCTACTGAGACCCAGTCCGCGGCAGGTGGCGCTTCGAACAGGGACATGAAGGACAGGTAATTTTCTCTCTTCTTTCTCTCTTTTCATAAGTAGGGATCGGCTCCTGTCAGGGTTCTGCAGACCCGCCGGTAAAGGCTCACCGGTTAAGCACAGGTAATCCAGAAGGTAAGCATGGGGCACCACCTCTCAAAGGAGGACAAATTATTTGCATCTGTGATAAGACATATGTTGGCAGAAAAGGGCTTGAAGGTAACACCAGAGGCCTTGGCAGAATTCCTTAAACTCGTGAAGGAATTGTGTCCCTGGCTCACAGAGGATGGCAGCCTGACACTGACGGAATGGAGGAAGGTAGGGAAGGCTATACACAGATATGCAAAAGAAAAGGGAGAAGAAAAATTGCCTGCATGTGCCTACCCCCTCTGGTTACAAATCAGAGAGATCTTATCAAGAACTTCTGACTTAGAAGGACTGGAGGAAGAAATAGCCTCCCTCAAGGGCGATAAGCCGCCTAAGCAGTATGGCACCACTAATAGCAAGAGAACTGTCATTGGGGCTGGAATAGAGGATGATGAGGATGGAGATGATTGGGACTTAGCCGAGGAAATGGCTAAGCAAGATCTGGAGGATGACTGTAGGGATCATCAGCGATACCCTCCTATGACTGCTTTCCCTGTTAAAACAGGGCCTAGGCCTGTGCCTACACCTAGGAAAAGACCACCCATGCCTCCCTTTGGTTTTCGGGGAGCGATGGATGAGGCACGCAGGACGGGGGATACTACCTTCGCCCTGCCGGTTGCAGAAACTTTTGATGGAGAAGAGCCGCAGTGGGAACCGCTACCATTGAAAACGTTAAAAGAATTACAGGCCGCGGTTAAGTCCGTGGGCCCTTCAGCTCCATACACTATACAAGTAGTAGATATGGTTGCTAGCTTATGGTTAACACCTTATGATTGGCATCAAACTGCTAGGGCTGTATTGTCTCCTGGGGATTATATTCTTTGGAGGACTGATTACGAGGATAGATCAAAAGAAACAATAATAACTATGACTAAGAAGAAAGGCACAAAACCAACGATGGATATGTTACTAGGGACAGGTAAATATGCAACGCCTCAGTCTCAGTCTGCTTTGCCTCGTGATGTCTTGGAGGCTATTACTAGCAATGCAGTCGCTGCTTGGCGTCGCATTCCGCCTCCCGGGACAAAGAGCATGGTGTTATCAGGGATTATACAAGGGAATGAAGAAACATATCAAGCCTTTATCTCCAGACTTGAGGAAGCAATACATAGAATGCTTCCCCCTTCAGAGGGGACGGACATGCTTCTGAAACAGTTAGCCTGGGAAAATGCCAATACCCTTTGTAAAGACTTAATTAGGCCCGTCAGGAAGACAGGCTCATTACAGGATTATATAAAAGCATACATGGATGCCTCACCAGCCGTAGTGCAAGGAATGGCCTACGCTGCAGCAATGAAAGGACAACGATTTAGCGCCTATGTTAAGAAAATAAGTAGCGGAGGGGCTGATAGCTCCCCGACCTGTTATAAGTGTGGAAAATCAGGGCACATGCAAAAGGAATGCCCGAATGCTGAGAATAGAGGAGGAAGAGCGCCTCCTGGCATTTGCCCACGATGCAAAAAAGGAAAGCATTGGAGAAATGAATGCAAGTCAAGGTTCACTAAGGAGGGAGTTCCCCTCAAGCCCGACAGTCAGACAAAAAACTAGCTTCGGGGCTTCCCCTTAGCCCCGAGAAAGAAAAGGGGAATGTCCAAAAGGACGTACAGTTAACACCAGGGCTAAACCCTGCTGCGCCAGAATTCACTGTCCATAACCTGCCTAGAGCTACTCCAGAGAGTGCTGGATTAGATATATCATGTCCTCAGGACTTGCTCCTGTCCCTGTGGGATGGGGTAACAGTCATAGATACAAAAATTACAGGAACCCTGCCACCACAAATGGTAGGATTAATTTTGGGGAGAAGCTCTAATACTGCTACCAGCTTTGAAGTACTCCCTGGAGTGCTAGATGCAGATACCTTAGGTACAATAAAGGTGATGATCAGGCCTTTAAAAGAAACCATTCAATTACACAAGGGACAGAGAATCGCACAGGTTGTTCTACTCCCCTACATAAAAATGCCTAATCCTATTATGAAAAGCCATAGGGGGTCAGGACAGTTTGGCTCTTCAGACTCCGTAGAAGGAGTCAACTGGGTACAAGAATTAGGGCAACGACGCTTTAAGACAATCATCCTGGACGGCAGGACCTTCCAAGGACTCTTGGACACAGGTGCTGACAGGACCTGCATAGCAGGAAAGGATTGGCCTTCTTCTTGGCCAACACACAGAACAGGATCCTCCCTTATGGGAATAGGGATGGCTTCCGGAGTAATGCAGAGTTCAAAGCTTTTAAAATGGCAAACAGACAGTAAAGAAGGGTTTATACAACCTTATGTGCTACCCTCTCTACCATTTACCCTATGGGGAAGAGACTTAATGGAGTCACTTGATGTGCATTTAGTAACAGGAAGTTCTGAGCTGGAGCAGCATTTTACATAGGGGCCACTGCAAAGGATCTCTATGCAGACTCTATACAGTGGAAGTCTGATCAGCCTGTATGGGTTAGTCAGTGGCCCCTGACACAAGAAAAAATACAGGCATTAGAACAGCTGGTATCAGAACAATTGGAAAAAGGGCATATAGAAGAATCTAATAGCCCATGGAATACTCCTGTATTTGTCATAAAAAAGAAATCAGGAAAATGGAGACTACTACAAGATTTAAGAGCAGTAAATGCTACAATGGAGGATATGGGGGCCCTACAACCAGGACTCCCATCCCCTGTGGCCATACCAAAGGACTGGCACATTATAGTCATTGATCTACAAGATTGCTTTTTTACAATAAGATTACAGCCTCAGGATCGCCCTAGATTTGCCTTTAGCATACCCTCAGTTAATTTTAAGAGACCCTATAGACGATTTCATTGGAATGTATTACCCCAAGGAATGAAGAACAGTCCTTCATTATGTCAAAAATTTGTGGATATGGCCCTTTTACCAATAAGAAAAACTTTTCCCTCTGCATATATTATTCATTATATGGATGATATATTATTGGCTCATAAAAATAAAGATACAACAGAAAAAATTCTCAAAGAGACAATTAGTAGTCTAACAGCTTATGGCCTTGTCGTGGCTCCAGAAAAAATTCAGAAAAATAGGCCACTTAGTTATCTGGGACAATGGATAGGGGATAATTATATAACAACCCAAAAGGCATCTATCAGAGTAGATAAATTAAAGACCCTCAATGATTTTCAAAAATTGTTGGGAAATATAAATTGGGTAAGAAAATATTTAAATGTCACAACAGGTCAATTAAGCCCCCTGTATCAAATATTACATGGAGAAGCTCACCCAAGGTCAATAAGACACTTAACTCCTGAAGCCTTGCAGGCTTTAAGACATATAGAGCAGGCTTTGGAAAGAGCTAAAGTACATCAAGTAGACTATTTGATTCCATGGTATTTAATTGTTTTTGCCACAGATTATACTCCAACAGCTTGCCTATGGCAGGGAGGTGTATTGGAGTGGCTACACCTACCACACACACATAAGAAGGTACTTATATCTTATCCCTCTCTTTGTGCACAACTTATATATAAGGGCAGAATTAGGTCTAGAGAATTGTTTGGCAAGGAACCGGCCTTTGTAATTATACCCTATAATAAAGAACAATTAGAGCTCTTATTACAAGAATCAGGAGATTGGTGTCTCTCCTTAATGGGATACCTAGGACAAATCGCCTTTCATTACCCCAAAGACCCTCTTATTGAATTCATAAAAGAAGTTCCTCTTATATTTCCAAAGATATGTGTTTCTCAACCCCTAACAGAGGGTATTGTGGTTTTTACAGATGGGTCAGCAAATGGGAGGTCTGTGGTATACTCGGAAGGGGAGGAACCTTTAATAGAAGTTGTACCGCAGATAACAGCCCAGCAAGCAGAAATACGTGCAGTTCTGCTTGCACTTAGACATTTTCCCCAGACCCTTAACCTTTATACAGACTCAAAGTATGTAGTTAATTTATTTCCTGCCATAGAAACAGCGAGTTTAACAGGTTCTTCTACTATTAAGCCTCTGCTTAAGGAACTGCAGGCTCTGTTATGGCAAAGAACAGAGAAACTTTTCATAGGACATATTCGGGGTCATACAGGGTTACCAGGACCCCTGAGCCATGGTAATCACATGGCTGACTTATTAACTAGAATTAATCTCCTTACAGTACAGGAGGCACAAGAAAGTCATGCTCTGCATCATCAGAATGCTAATGCATTAAAACAAGCTTTTCAGATAACTAGAGAACAAGCTAGACATATAGTTAAGGAGTGTGCTCATTGCCCTCCGCAAAATCAGAGTTTAAAAATGGGAGTCAATCCTAGGGGATTGAAGCCTCTTGCATTATGGCAGATGGACGTAACCCATATTCCTTCCTTTGGGAAGATGAAGTATGTTCATGTAACAGTGGATACATTCTCTCATTTTATCCACGCGTCTGCCAGATCAGGAGAAGCAGTAAAGGATGTGATTCAGCATCTGGTACAATGTTTCATGATCATGGGGAAACCCATGCATATCAAAACTGATAATGGACCTGCCTACACTTCAAAATCTTTTGAGGTATTTTTAGCACAATGGGGGATTAGTCACACGACAGGAATTCCCTATAACCCACAAGGACAGGCCATCATAGAAAGAACTCATCAGACACTAAAATTACAAGTAGAAAGATTACAGAATGCTAACTCATATATGTCCCCTCATCATGTTTTAAGTCATTCTCTCTTTGTATTAAACCATTTGAACATGAACTCAAATAATAATTCCTCTGCTCTTAAGCATTGGGCAGTAAAAGAGACGGCATCATCATTGCCACAAGTACTATGGAGAGACTTGCTTTCGGGATCCTGGAAAGGACCCGACCCTCTGATAACTTTGGGGCGAGGGTATGCTTGTATCTTTCCACAGGATGCGGAATCGCCCATATGGATTCCAGACAGACTCATCAGGCCAGCGCCGCAGAAAACTGCAAAAGCGAAAGGAAAAGTTAGCGACGGCCCGGCTCACTCAGGAGATGAAGAAGCTGACCCTGAAGCCACAGAAGCTTCCGACATGGACCCAGCTAAAACATCTGGCGACGGAAGCAAAAGCACTTGCCTCGCAACAATGTTCTAACCCTCCTTTAGAAATGCTATTTGTAGCCATGTTGTCCTTGATTGCTGTTGGGCCTCTACGGCCTCTACCAGTCCTTCTACCTATTGGGCTTATGTGCCTCGTCCTCCCCTCTTACATGTAGTGGGGTGGTTGGATGATGAGACTTATAAGGTATTGAGCAATCAGACGGAGATCATCGGGGGTTTCCAAGATTCAGACGAAAGGGCAAGTGCTTCCTCATTTATAAACTTTGCAGGAAGCTCAGATTCATTACCAATTTGCTTCGCCCTGGAAGGAGTAGCTCCTCCCGGGTGTCTCTCCACCAGCTACAGAACCTTTTTAACTGCTGCCCCCAGCTCTACCGGTAAGAAAGGAGATCCTAGATGGATCTGGGAGACTCAACTGCTTACTCTGGCACTTCCCACTATGAATGAAACTTTTCAGTCTGTCAATTTTATGCCTCTTGATTCCTGTATTACTAAGTATCGGGATAAGAATCAATGTTGGGATGATGGTGTTACCGCCTTTCCTACTTGGTTGCGTTGTGGGTTTCCTCACGCAGCCTCCTCCTACAATCCTTTACTGTCTAAATTGCTTATTTGGGATTTTTCCGCCTCTTCTGGAGAAAAGAAGTATGAAGATTATATCTCAAAGAATAAAGATAAGTTCCATAATTATACATTTGTGGGTCATGGAGAGAAAATCACTAGGTGGTTTTCACCTGGGTATGTTGAGCCAGTGTGGGTCGCTAGAACCCCCTCCGGAAACATGAGAAAACATCCAGACTTGTTTCGGCTTGTTGCCGCTTCAGGCCCAGTGTCTCAAAAAAGACCCAAAGAAACTACTCCATCTCCCATTGCAGTTAGAGCATGTATTTCCTATCCTTTTGCTCTGCTACTAGGCTCTGCTGCCCGTGTAAATATCTCTGCTCTTGGGTCTAACTCATATCATGTAACTTGCTTTAGATGCATTATCACTAATTGTATTTCACCAAGGGAAAGACAAAAAATGCAGATTATGATGATTGTGAAAAGACCACCTTTTATAATGATGCCCGTGCAATTACATAACATGACTTGGTATGATAATTCAGCTTTACAGGTACTTAGACAGCTTCATGAATTAATAAGGCCAAAAAGATTTGTTGCAGCATTAATATTAGGGATAACAGCATTAATATCTATTATTACTACTTTTGCCATTGCCACCACCGCCCTGGTTCAAGAGATTCATACAGCTCAATTTGTAAATGATTTAAATAAGAATATTTCCTTTGCATTATCTGAACAAGCAATTATTGACAAGAAATTAGAGGCAAAGATTAATATATTAGAGGAAGTAGTGTTAGCCTTAGGACAAGATGTGGCCAATATTAAGAAACTCATGGAAACTAGATGTCATCAAGAATACAAAGCTATTTGTGTGACTCCACTTCCCTACAATTCCTCTGAGAATTGGGATAAAGTTAAGCATCATTTGTTAGGGGTATGGAAGGATTCTTCCATTACTCATGATTTAGAGGTTACTCAAAAGGACATATCGGCCATGAGCCAAGCTCATATACAAGCTGGCTCATTGAATGTCTTAGCACAAGGATTACAAGAAGACCTTAAGGCCATGAATCCCTTAGATTGGATTCAATATTTTATTTTCATAGGCATTCTTGCCTTAATTGTAGTTTGTGTTATTGTGATTTTCCCTTGTCTTTTCAGGACAATAACCAGATCTCTGGGCAGTGTACGTGAGGACCTGTATGCCTTCTGCCTTAAAAACAAAAAAGGGGGAACTGCCACGCCCACGACGGTGTCGCCGCGCGTGACAAATGCCTTGGATGAGGTGGTTACGTGGGAAAGGGGGGCTCGCGGCCCTCGGGTCTATGCCCCCGGCGACCCCTTATCAATCTGCCCGAATCATGGTGCCAGGCTACACGGAACCACGCAAAATCTGCTTACAGAAGCTGGCTGGCACTCTGCCTTTTTCTCTTTGCAGCTGTGACTATTGCTGTTTCCTTGTGTATTGATTTCAGGGAGTTAGCTCTCAATGTTCCTGATGTGCCCCATAAAGAGAATAATGATTCCTCAAAAGTGGCCTCAATACCCCCCCTATAATTCAAGCTTTTAGGCAAACAGTTAAAGAGGGTCCTAGAAGTTTGGGGGAATTTATGAATGACTTAGAACAAAAAGAACTTATGACTCAGAGGGACAAAGAGTCTAGCGAGGAGAGATGAAAGTAAAAGTCCAGGAACTCATAAGCAATCCATACGCGCAGCCAACAGCAGCTGTAAGGAAGCAGTTACAGGAACTAACCAGTCCTACAAGAATTATCAAGGGACAAATAGAGTTTCTCATCAAGGGTCGGTGGTGGCAACCCCCTAACTTTGATCCTAGATATAATAATTATTTGGAGCCATTGCCCTTTACGGGAGCTTATGATAAACATGGGAACCAATGGGTGAATCATAATAGTATGAAAACAGAATGGCATAAGTTACAGTTCATGGAAAGAATAGCTAGGTCCCAACCCCCCTGGTGCCTTCTCACCTGCAAGCAAAGGTTAAATATTTTCACACAAATGAAACCGTGGTTAGAACGATGGGGGGAAGGGTTTAATTGTGATACAAAACAAAGGTCTAATAACTACGTAGAAGGAAAAACTTCAGCTAGGGCCGTAATGTTCTCTGTCTGGATGAGGGACCACAAAAGAGGAAATAACACCTGTACTCATGAGATCCGTTAATCATTCTGAGAAAATTGTGTGACCACATTGTTAATTCTATGTCTATCGCCCCACTGGCCGATTGCCATGTTTCCTCAAATGAATGTATAAAAAACACTGCTTGATCTGAGTAAAATTGCAGCAGTTCACAGCATACTCTGGTGTCTGTGTCTGTCTGTCATTCGCCGAATCCCACTTATCCTGAGTACCTTCAACCCGTTCTCCCTCGGTCTGGTGTTCCTACTGAGACCCAGTCCGCGGCAAACTACCATCCAGGAGGAGGGCAAGGCCAGCCTAGGAAGAGTTTCGACAACTGGAATGCATTCTCCAAGACACAGATCAGATCAGTGTGCCCTAGTGGCTTCCATGGGACATCTGGCAGTGTCTAAATACATTTTTGTTCTCATCATTTGGTAAAGGTACTGGCATCTGGGGGTGGTGGAAGAAGAGACACTACTAAATGCCCTGCAATGTATGGGACAGCTGCCAGACAGAGAACTATGTGGTCTGGGAAATCACTGATGCCCAGGAGAAGAAAGGCTAATGTGGAAGATGGATAGTTTGGGTGACAGCGTAGAATGTGAGTTACTAAGGGGCACGGAATGGGGAACAGGATAAAAATGACAGTAGTCACTCAGGCAGATGATGATGAAGGCCTGGAGCATTGATAGGTAGGTTGCACAGCCAATTGCTGAAGCCCAGTGATGGAATGTTTACAGCAGTAAGTGGACTGATGAAGCAGGGTTGCTCGGGTACCGTCACCAGGGAAGCCAGTATCGCAAGAGCTGAATCACGGTGGTGTTCCCATCAAAATGTGGAAGGGTGGCTTCGCTGCATTGGAGACGTCAAGCCATGGTTGTCGTGATCCTAAACAGCTGCTCCTGAACCTACCTCCACGTTCATATTCCTGCCAAAGGAGAGGCAAGAGAAGAGATGCTTAGGGCTTGGTCCTTCTCTTTAAGGAAATGATCTAGAAGCCACACTCGTCAAATCTCACTCATATCCCACTGGCCGGAGCTTAGTCATGTGGCTGCTCCCATCTGCAAAGAGAATGTAATCTTTCACCAAGCACCATGTACAAAGCAAGACTCTCACAGCTGTGGAATGGAGAGTGAATGGCCTTTAGGGGACCATCAATCACTGTGCCATCAGTGATTTAAAAAAAAAGTGTAAAGGTCATCAGTCAGATGGAGGCCTGGGCAACTGAGTGGTTGGCCAGTGTTATTAAGAGAGCTGGATGATGAGGGAAGAGAGAGCTGTGGGGCAAAGCTGAGCCCACTGTGGACTGTCCAGGGGAGTGTAAAACCACATCTGGGCTCGGAGGCAGGCACGGGGGTGGGGCTCTATGAAGTAGACGAGGGGTAGAGTACACAGAAATGGCACCTACTCAGGAGACTACCAGCCCCCAGCTTAAAACACACTCCAGATTAAAGGGCTGGGTGGAAGATGAAGTCTGAGCTTCCTGAAGTATGTGCATGCACGAGTGTGTGTGTGTGTGTGTGTGTGTGTGTGTGTGTGTGTGTGGTGTGTGTGTGTGCGTGTGTGTGTGTGTGTGTGTGCAAGAGAGAGACAGACAGACAGAGATAGACAGACAGACAGAGAAAAACAGAGACAGACAGAGTAGCGTGAGTAGTGGGTGAGCACCTTTCCTGTCCATCCCAGGGAGGTAAGAAAAGGGGTAAGAAGATGGACTTGAAATCCATTCCGCACTTGAGAGGTGGTTGCAAGATCAAAAGTTCAAGGCCAATCTGAGCTACACAGGGAGATCTACCAGAAAGAGAGGAGAGGGAGAAAGAAAGACTAAAGAGAAAAGAAAAGCAGCCCCAGGTCCCCAGTGCTACTGAAACAGAAGATGAGGAGCCTGGAGGGACCAAGGGGCGGCAGTCGAGCTGCTTAGACTGATGACCTGGGCTTGATCCTGGAACCCGTGGAAAGGAGAGAGTTGACTCTGCAGAGTTACCCTCTGCCCTCTACACACACCGTGACATGTGCATGTCTCCATCATACATACATGTGCACAATTGTAATAAATTAAATAAATACAATTAATTTTTATAAAGAGGCTACGGTGAGGGGCAGAAGCAAGGGAGGAGGAGGGAGGAGGGGAGGAGGGAGAAGGCAGAGGGGGGGAAGGGGGAAGGGAGGAGGGAAGGAGGGGGGAAGGAAGGAGGGAAGGAGAAGAGGAGGGAGGAGGCAGAAGGGAGGGGGAGGTGAGAGGAGGGGAGGAGGGGAGGTGGGAGGAGGGAGGAGGGGGAGGGAGGAGGGGGAGGGGGAGGGAGGAGGGTAGGAGGGCAGCAGGAGAGAGAGGAGGAGGGGGAAGGGGAGAGGGAAGGGAGGAGGGAGGAGGGAGGAGGGGATGGAGAAGGATGGAGAAAAAGGTCAGGAACTTGGGGTGTGGTGAAGCTTTTAGCCAGGGCACCTCAGTGTGGGAAGCAGCAGGCAGGAGCAGGAGGCAGGGTCCTTAGGGGAGACTCAGAGCGTGCGTTGTGTGTGTGGTATATGTGTATTATGAGTTTGTGTGTGCATGTGCACATGTGTGTGCATGCACATGGGTTGGGTGATGATGTCGAGCATCTTCATCAATCACTCTTCACCTTATTATTTCTTTTTAAATTTTATTTGTCTGGGCATATACATGGAGGTCAGAGGACAACTCTCAAGAGTCATTTCTCTCTTCCTGCCATTTTTTTTTTTAGAAAAAGTCTTTGTTTTCCTGGGAGCTCCCTGATTGGATAGACTAGCTGGTCAGCAAGCCCCGGGAGTGTTCCCAAGTCACTGTCTCCCCAGCAACCAGAGGGATTACAGGCACAGGACGCTATGCCCTACTACCACAGAGGCGCTGGGGATCCAAACTCAGACTCTTAGCTCAGGCCTCCCTGGAGCCCCCTGATGGTCACATCCAAGACCCGGGTCATTGTCACCATGTGGAGTCTATCATCTGCATGAGAGTTCACTCAGTCCTGGAGGAACACAATGACAAGTGTCTGCCATCAGTGTCATACAGGGTGTTCACAACACACGAGGATTTTTAAGGACAAAGAATTCAATATGTCCCTAGATCGGGTGAGAATGTCTAGTGGAGAGGAAGATGGAGCAAATGGCTGTGAATGTCAACCCAGCCCTCAGTGTGGGTCCAACAGCCTGGGACAGGGTCCCTGTCACAGAGAGCTTCTGATGGCTTTAAATCTAAGCTCTGCAAGTTCTCACCTCCCTCTCTGAGCCTTCTCGTCCCAATGCGTGAAGTCAACGAGCTTCACTAAAACCTGCCTCGACTGATTAACTCAGGCTAGAAGACAAGTAAGAGATGAGATCCACGGTGCCGGATGCCAGCTCAGCAGCTGAGTAGGTGGGAGCGCCCTGAACCTCCTCACCTTCTTCTGTCCCTAAGGATGATGCTCTCAGCAACCAAGAACATAGGTAGCTTGTGAGCAAGCGCCTTTATCATCCCTTGCTTGTACCAAAGGGGTTGAGTTTGGACCACATAAAGTACACCTGCACATCTCTCAACAGCAAGGATGTTTGTGATAAATGCATCGTCAGGGGATTTCATCATGGGTAAACATCAGGGGCTATTTGCACAGAGTTAGAAGGCTGAGTCATGGGAGATATAATCTGAGGGAACCACTGGAATATATGTGGCCCACTGTTGATAGAAACATCGTATGCAGCACGTGGCTGCGTCAGGCACCATGCTCATGTTGGAAGAATGATGCCAGAAATACTGAAAATATATAAAATAATGATAATGGGACAAACAAGCAGACAGTCACCTTCTTAAAATCCTCGGCGACAACTCCCAGACTCATCCCCGTCCATACCCAGTTATTAGTGGTGTTTCTCCAGGGATGAGTTTCCTAAGAGTGCTCGGGTCCCCAGCATGTGCTCCTCATGATGGTGACTGCAGAGTCATGGGTGTTCCAGGAGGCTGTTTGCTCAGAGCCGTGGGTGGAGAGGAGAGTGTCTCACGGTGAGAAAGCAATCCCCAAACAAACAGGCAAAGGCTGAACAGGCAGCTCTCCGAGGAGTATACACAGGTGACCGGTGACGGCACAAAAGAATGCCCAACACCAACACCACTGCGTTACAGAGATGTGAACTAAAGTATAAGGACGGACACACACACACACACACACAAAGAGAGAGCAAGTGTTACCATGAGGAAGAAGAAGAAGACCCAGAAGATAATGTGTTGGAACCGATGTGGAGAAGTTGGACTGATGGTTATAACGGCAGGGGTATAAAATGACACAGTCACCATGGGGAGCAGGGTGGCACTTCTAAAAAGCTACATATAGAAGGACCATATCATATAGCCGTTCCTCCTCTAGGCACGTGCCCCAGAGCAGAACTTACCTGCCCACAGTCAGTCACAGCAGCATTAATCTGAACAGCCAGAAGTGGGGGCAATCCAAGCTCTGGACAAACCAACAGAATGCGGTGCATATTAAAATGTGTATGAAGATGTTCCAGTTCTAAGAAGAAAATGAATACGGAAATTTTGCTGAAAGAAACCAATCTCAAAAAATACTGTGTACTTTCACTTTTAGGAAGTGAAGCTAATATATATATATTATAATATAATATATATAATATGTAACATATTATATATATATATATATATATATATATATATATATATATATTAGCTAAATTCACAGAGACAGGGTATAACAAGGTGATTGCCATGGAGCAGGGTGGGGGACAGGAGTTGATAATGGGTTGAGTTTCAGTTTGGGGAGCAGCACAAAATTATGGTATACTCAACACCACAAACTGTACGTTTAAAAATGGTTGAGGCAAGCTGGGTGCGGTGATTCACGCCTATTATCCCAGCACTCAGGATGCTGAGGCAGAAGGATTGCTACTTCAGGGCTAGCCTAGGTTAGGCTACATAATGACATCGTGCCTCAGACAAAACAAAAGACAAGAGACCGGCTGGCAAGATGGCTCAGCAGGTCAAAGGGGCTTGTTGTACAAGCCCTGAGACCTGAGCCTGAGTTCGATCTCTGCAACCCACGCAAAGGTGAACGAAACGCCACAAAATCATCCTAGGCTGCCAGCCCCACCCCCAGCAACATTAACTAAAGTAAAATCTCAAGAACTAAAATAATAATGATAATAGTAATAATAATAATAAACCTGGTAAGTTTCATATATATTTTATCTTGAGGAAAATAATAAACTGTACGTTACATATATTTTAATATGCTAAGTAACCCCCAGGTAAAGTTATGATCCAGAGAGTTGAGGTCCATCACTGTAATAGTAAAATGATATTCCACAAAATCAAAACTAGTCCTTTCTCAAATTATTAATTAAAAACCAAGACCACAGAACATCATTCTAAGCATTCTGGCCCCTGCTTCGACAGGGGCATGGACAACTATAGAAGCCATCCCTCTGCCCTGGCCAGCTCTGGTTTCCCCTCACCCATCAGACATGGCCCAAGCTTTTGAGGAAGGCTAAGTTTTCTCAGGTGACAGGAATATGGCTCATCTATCTGCACCTATAATTTTGTCTGTCATACTTTTTCACGTTTTTTTTCTGATGCCGCCTGATGATTTTTATAGTGAAGAAAACATTCCTAGGATTCTCCATTTTTAAGACCCTATCCTCCAAGCGTCCTTGCAATGTTTCTCAAGTGGGTCTGGGAGTGATCAGTGATGCCATCTTTCCCGGGTGAGTCATGCTGGTAGCCTCACAAGGACGGGCTGGACTCATGGTCCAGAATAAAAGGCCCGTCAAATCTCTGCAAGGGGTCCCCACAGAGACAAGCTGGAACGATCTTCAGTCCCTACCCCAGGAGACTAACACCTCTACACAAGGAGCACGGGGCACCCCAAACCCGAAACCATCTTAGTTCCCTGTAAGCCAGGCATCTGGCTTCAATGCATAGTTTCTTTCCGCAAGGGCTCCTTCGGGTGCCCAAGGCACACTACCTGATACTGGCTGTTGATTGATCCCAACAGATAGATTAGGTCTCAAGCATTATTTCAGTATTTCCTCCATCCCCACCACCCCCACCCGTTTACCACATGGCTATTGTGCGTAACTGCCGGGACTTCCTTCCCTAAGGCAGTTACAGGCCCAAGGGTCCTTTGGAAACACTGTACTGTTATTCCAAGTCAGGGAGACAAAAAAGAAAAAAAAAGAAAGAAAAAAGAAACTAAGTAGTAGGTCCTGAGAGAGCTGCATTCACATAACTAAAAATCAAACAAGTGTGTAAAGACCCAGGAAAAATTAGATTCATTAAAATTTTTATTTTGAATAGCTTCAATCAAAAAGATTTCATAAGGTTATTTACAATGCTGAATGTATAATTATGAATATCTACCTTTTCGACAACAGGGTACCATTCTTGAGCAGCAATACAATTTTAAAAATATAAAGATGTGGTATCATTTCTGATATATAAAGTTACTTAAAAAATTCACGGTCTTAGGGAATTCACAAATCATAACAGGAAGTAACTTTTATTAATTTCATGTGCACATAATTACCAAATTGTAATACATTAAAAATACGTGTAAATGCCCAGACTGTACAAAAGTTAATCCCCTATCTTGTTAAAAGTTCCCAGTAACCTCCCACCATAAATATACAAAACCCTTTTCTTCGACACATCAAAACTGCATGCATGAAATTAGATGTGCTCTAAAGCCTGAAGTTGCCCCTCACTGCATATGAGCTTCTGCTGCTTCTGGAACAGGTTTTAAATGTATGTATTATGTATGGTATGTATGTATGTATGTATGTATGTATGTATATATATGTGTGTGTGTGTGTATACATACAGACATATGACAGATCATTCATTCATCATGCCTTTGAAACTGTGCAGTACTTTCATCAGCATGGGAAACAAAATACATAGTGTAAAATGACGGGTTTACTCAAATGCGAGTGCAGTCTGGAAGCTCTTGAGCGAGCGCCAGGCTCTAAACCGATAACGTACCACCGGTCTGTGGTGGTCTCGCTGCTCTCACCCCAGCACTATCTGAGCACTGCTTTACAGCAGGTGGTGCTAGAAGACAGAAAACAGTTACCACTATTGGTTTGTATTTGAGGAGGAAAATGACTTTAAACAACCCTGAGGGAGACCCACATTAAAAAATCTTATTTATTTAAAAAGTTAAAAAGTTACATATCATTATTTAACAATTACTTTCCCGGACATTTCTGTCCTTTAAGTATGTGCATAAATAAAATTTAAATCAGCAATATTATCAATCTTAATACATCAAAATAATATATGTACAGATTTTAAAATCTAGGTCTGTATATACTCAAATAATTTAATGTAAAATTCAGAACCCAAATCTCTATATAACAGTGACCTACAGAAGACTGCACTAAGCTGGACCCATGTCTGGACTCACAGACATTCCTCACAACATCCTCAAAGGAATAACCTACCCTGTCTATGTTCAAATCTAACTTCCTACAAATGCTTTCTCTCACCTACATAAAACCTTGTTCCTTTGCAAACAATATGGAGAGATGAGATATAAACCTTATCAACTCTAAATATTGAAAGGGATATGTGTCAAAAATAGCCTTTTATGATCATTCTCTTGAGGATGTTAAATACAATTAATATTGGGTTTCTAAACTGCAGTTAGCAATTATATGCTTCAGCATTTAAACCAAAGAGTAAGGCTTAACGACCCATAAAAATCACTAAAGAATAATATGAGCATTATTTGAAATGAACATGGACAGTATAAAACAACAGAGAATAAGTAACTATAGAAAATAGTGCTAATTCACAGCTCAAGAGGTCTAAGATGCATAGCTTCATAGAATCATTCATGGGACAATTGTTCTTGTCATCTAACATATAATAACATCATACAGTTTGTTGGAAAATTTTGATTATGTATTTTGTAAGAATCACCAGTGGCAATAGCAGTAACAGTGATCCTGAGAATAATTTACATTTTTTTTCTACAATTATCAAACATCATTCAGGTCTCTGCAACACAAAAAATAAGAAAAAAAAATGGTTCCACAAATCTGGGTAACATGTGGTAAACTGGTAAGTATGTACTGGGACAGTAATGATCAACTGGGAATGGAAAGCATACACACGCGGTTAGTTAAGAACCAACATAGAATAACATCACATTGTCTCACTAATTTAGGGTCCATCTTTATAGCAATGCCAGCTTCCCAAGCTTCCCATAACTGTGGGCACTGCCAAACTGCCAGGTCCTACATAGGAAGGCATTGTGGATATTCCTTGAGAAATGAACATTAATCAGACAAAACACCAGTGTGAAAAATGCTTTCTACATTTCTTTTGGCTCAATAAATGTGTATACTTTATTTTCTCAAGCTCACTTGTAACAAAACAGGTATGTGCTGACCTCTGGTGCCACCTAATGGCATAAAACAAGCTCTACTCAAGTTCACACTGCTTTGTAAAAGTCAAACTCAATATTCATTATTCTTTTAATCCTTATTATCCAAAGGAGAGACATATACCAAGGCTAAGCTCTAACTCAAAAACAAAACAGTATTATCCAATTTCTTTAAGTTAGAAAACAAACAGATAATGAAAAAGCATGCAGAATGATAAAAACCCTGAAAGAAAAACAACAGGTATGAAGAGCACGAGGTCACCCAAGGAAGTGACCGCTGCTCTGCATGCACGGATTCTGAGACGGGACTTGACTATCTCCTCGAGGCTATCCTTGGACTAAGAACAATCCTCCTCCCTCAGCCTCCTGTGCAGGAGTACAGGCCTGCACCACCATGCCTGGCTCAGAAATAAACTTTACTAGAAAAGTTCTTCGTTGATGAGGCAAACTGGACTGCCGACGTCAGACACAGTATGAGACAGACCCACAAAGGTTACGAGGACACGAGACAGCGGTGAAGCACCTTGCTGGCTAGAAAGTGACACCCAGGCAGTCTACACAGAGACTATAGAACCAGAAGTGGAAATTACCTGAGCTGCTCACAAACACTAACACAACAGTAACACAAACCACTCCAACCCCAGGTCAAAGGAAACTGGTGGATGTTTAACACAGAACTCTTTGGGAGAAACATTGGAATCAAAATAGATTTTCAACCTATTTTCACCAAAGGCTAATCACAATTAACAATCATATTATTTTTAACAATCCCAATATTAGGGCCTACATATAGAAGAAACTTGCTAATAAGGGGGTTTGTGAAAATTAAATTTAAGAGGCAAACTAGTGTCAAAAGCTGAAATCTAAAAACCCCAACACAGTTCTCTCACACCCAATATAAAGTGTATATCACATTACGTTACTGCATGAAGATCTAGCCAGACTGATAGTTAATAACTGTGAGGCAAATGCCATTTTACTGCTTTTGTTTTTTAATCAACTACTGTATTATGAGAGGGCTATCAACTGGAACAGTGCCATTCGGACACCCAGCGTCAGTCAGAAGAGCCAAGCACATCCTCCTGAATACTGTCACTAGCACAGCAGATGGCCTCTGCTATGTGATGGTGCTGATCTGACATGATCCGTTCTCCTTGACTACAGTTTTGGCTTCCGTCGTTGTCTGAGGCTTAGGTGGCCATTCAGGATCAACTGAGAGCTCCTGGGCCAGGTACATGTATTTTGCCTTTGGTGTCTTCTTTCTACAGCTCAGGGCCCAGGACAAGCAGCATTTCCCCCATCGATCCACTGACTCCTAGGAAAGGAAAAACATCCCGAGTAAGGGCTTATTTGTTACAGCATGCACTGAGCATAGAACAAGATGAAATAACTTCTGAATGCAACAAATAACTAGGAAAAAAATTCATGCAAAAAAAGGTCAGCTTTCAATTTAGGAACAGATTGTTTTAAAGCGGATTTTTCCAAGCTCCTTTAGTTTTGTGCACATATCCTCTTGTGTACTTACTATATTATTTAAGTAGCTTTCTCTAGCAGAAAACACCCAGGATGAGTAACTTGAAAGTACTCAGAAGATAGTTTTATTATCTAATTTGGAAATCCTCATATCCTATCTCAAATTTTTTTTAAATATATTATTGATACCCACCAATCACTTTTAAAAGAATCACTGAAAGCTATCACTGTTACTGCTAATAGCGCTTTCAAAACACAAAGCATGAAGTAAACACCACAGAGTGAAACCAGAATCTCACTGTCACATTTAAAATTGCATCTCTGGGGGCTGGAGGGATGGCTTAGGGGTTAAGAGCACCGGCTGCTCTTCCAGAGGTCCTGAGTTCAATTCCCAGCAACCACATGATGGCTCACAACCATCTGTAATGAGATCTGGAGCCCTCTTCTGGTGTACAGGCATAGATACGTGATAAATAAATCAATCTTTAAAACAAACAAACAAACAAAAACTGCATTTCTGGCCAGGCATGGTGGCATATACCTGCAATCCCAGTGTGGGTGCTGCAGTGGTCTGTTTCTGTCAAATTGACACAGGCCAGAGTCATACGGGAAGAGGGAACCCCAACTGAGAAAATGCCTCCATCAGACTGGCCTGTAGGCAAGTCTGTGGGCATTTCCTTAATTAATAATTGATGTGGGAGGGACCAGACCACTGGGTGTTGTCTAAGAAAGCAAGTTGAGCAAGCCCTGGGGAACAAGGCAGTAAGCAATGTTCCTCCATGGCCTCTGCTTCAGGTCCTGCCTTGGCTTCCCCTGATAATAGACTGTAACCTGTAAGCCAAATAAGCCCTTTCCTCCCCAAGTCACATCAGTCATGGTATTTTATCACAGCAAGAAAAGCCTAACTCACACAGCTACACAATAAGACTATTTTTAAAAAACAAGTACCACCATATTCTCACTGACAGAAAACTACTTTCACCAAAGTTTCCCTTGATGTTCCACAAGCAAGTGCTGGGCTCAAGAGATGGCTCAGTCATTAAGAGAAGCAACTGCTCTTTCAGAGGACCCAAGTTCAATTCCCAGCACACACATGGCAGCTAGCTCACAACCATCTGTAATTTCAGTTCCAAGAGCTCTAACGCCCTCTTCTGTCCTCCACAGGCACTGCACATACATGGTACAGACACACATGCAGGTAAAACACCAATACACACAATAAAAATAAGCTGAGACCATTGTGATCAATCATGATGCTACTGATGAATACGACCTTAGATAAATAATCCTTGGAGAACAGGAAGGCAAAGTTCTTGAAGAAAAATAAACAGAATAGTTTCAAGTGAAGTTTGAATTAATCTAAATGACTCTTGTTTCACCTCTGAAAACAGACCATAAATTACTTGGTTATTGCTTCTCCCAAGGAAAATTTAAATCCTAGATCATTCTTCTGCCAAACAACAATGAGTCAATCCACACTGGGCTCTAACCTCAATGGAAGCCATCCTACAAAATGGAAATACAAATACAAATATGAACATCCAAAGTACCCACAGCCAAGAAAGGCAATGTGTTATAATACATACTTGAAACATGCTTCTTCACTGGCCAGGCGTGTGTAGTCCCTGCAATCCTAGCACTGGGGGGGGGGGGAGAGGAGGCAGGCAGGCAAGGCAGATGATTTGGGGGCTCACCACCAAGCTGAGCTAAACAGCAGGTTTGGGGCTAGTTTAAGCTACAAAGTGATACCTCTATCTCAACAGATCGATCCATCAATCAATTAAGGCAAGTAGCAGCCAATGGGAAGGACCAAAAGTACTTGAAAACAAAAGCTCTAAAACTGTAATTCCTGGTGCTTCTCTCACTACAGTGAGACAACCATCAGTAACCATGCCTCTCTTCTTCAGTAAGTAGATATGACATTGAGTTGCATCGCTCCCAAGGATTTAAAGGCAAAACTGTAGTCACAGATAAGTTATATTACATCCTAGGGAAAACTATAAAAGATTTGAAGATTATTCATCCAGTAACCCCTGTTACCATCACAATGAAAGTTATGAGCTGTGCATGGTGGCACTTGCCTGTAATACCAGTACACAGGAGGGCAGAGGCAGGAGGATCTTCAGAAGTTTGAGGCTGGCCTGGTCTACATCGTTGAGTTCAAGGTCAGCCAGTGTTATACAGTGAGATCTTGCATCCAAAAAAGGAAAGCCCCAGGTGGGGGTTACAGGTGTGATATTTCGTTATTCTCTTTTTTAAAGCGTTCATGACAAATCACTGTGTATTAGGATCCAATAGTCACCATGCACAGGATCCCTCGGGTGATCAAGAACGGCTAGCAGGTCCCTTCCCACCCCAGTCATCTGAGATGACACTACACTACTACATTTTACTGCTTCCCCGGTGCTTGGACTCTTCAGCCCAACTGTGGCAAAGATCACTGTTCCTAAATATGAAAGCTGTCTCTTCCATTTATCACAGCATTGCTAAAGCATCACAGAGAAACACGTCATGCTTGTCTGTGCAGATGAGTCCTTTGGGAAGGTGATGCAGAACAGGCAAAAAGCCCCGAGTAATAGAACTGAAGACACACACATTCCCCTCTAAATTCACTGTTCTACACCCGTGGAAACAAAGGCAAGCAATATAATTAAAGCTAATCACAAATGGCATCATAACTGCAGATTTCTTTTAACATTTTGGGATATATTATATATACATATATATTCACATGTTTAAAACAATGTATATTCATTGTACATCAAGTCACAAGGAACACCTGAGATTTCCCCTATTCCACCATAATTAGAAACATGTTTGTTCCTGTACCCTTATCTCCCCCAAATGTCACAAACAAACAAACTACACTACACACAAAGTTCGTGAGACTGCACATAAATGTATCACACACATCCTCAAACAACACAATTCACTGGAAGAGAAAATTGAAGGCTACAGTCATGACAGAGTGAGAAATCAGGAGAGGGAGGATGACAGCAAGGGAGACAGGCAGTCAATGTGGAACACAAAGCGTATTTAGTCACGGGGCTTAGAGTGAGCACTTGGATCTCCCCAACACAGAGGTCCAGTCCCTGCAGCAGAACACTGGATCCTTGGATTTAGTTAATTGGGGATGGTTAACGTGGCCAAAAATAGAATCTCCAAAACAAGAAGAGCAAGAGTCCACAGGTCAACAGGGAAACCACACAGAACGTTTATGAAGATCTGCAGCCACAATCTTGCTTCTGAGACACTCCAAGTTGCTCATTCTAATGCCCGGCTCTTTATGGCTAGCAGTCATTTAGGAAGCATTTCTTCATGCACGGCATGTACTGTGGTATTCATAAATCTTCCACATCAATCCTCAATATAAAACAAATACAATCCAAACTAGCAATCTAAGTAAGTTCAAATGGTATTTTCAAATAGTTTTTTTTTTTTTAAGTTGCATAATGGCTACAGTTCACAGATTTTCACTAAAGATAAAGTGTATCAGGTACATAACCTCAACAGGGTCACAGTGTACAACAGCATGATTCTAGTTCTCTCGTGGCTTTCAAATGCAACCACTTCAGTTTAGCGTGAAGCCTACAGCTCTGAACTAACTCAGTGTGCCCCTGAATGTGGTAAGGAAAGAAAGGGTGTTCTTTCTCTGACACCAACACAAAACTGGAGAGCTGCAGTCTGGGCTTTCATGGGCTTCTCTGTAAAAACGAGCAGCACCAGTTGGGCAGTGCAGAGTAGGGACTGTGGCGGAATCACAGCACCACACACTACAAGGCCTGGAGGAACCTAGTGCCGCCAGCCATCTCTGCTTCCTTCTCACTCAGCAGGGCTTTCTACTTCAGCAAGGGTGGGACCTTGAGCCACACAATTCTTTTTTGGCTGGGGTGGTTGTCTATGTACCACAGGACATTTATTTACCAGCCCCAATGGCCTCTACCCACCCTACATGTCAACAACAACCTCTCCCTTATTTCTGATAACCAAAACTGTCCAGAGCCACTGCCAAGTGGTCCCTGATGGGGGAGAGGAGTTAGACAGAGTTGCCCCTGATGGAGGAGAAACTCAGCATTACTTACACACAGGAGCATCACTAGAGGAAACAATATGCATTAATAGAAGGACTCTCCTTTTCTAAAAGTAAAACTCCAAAAAGTGCTTTCTTAAAACCACAGAACTAAGGCCAAAATTCTTGTCTACCCAATGATATCCAAATTGGGTCAATTTGCAAGAATGCTGAGCTTACATGCTAATGGACTGTCCCTGTATCTCTATTCCCTCCCAGGAACATTTTTAGAGGTGGAACTTCACATGAAATAAAAACTTTTAAAAGTTAAGAATCATTATTTAGAGATTTTAAGGAAAAAAGACAGTAGTAAATAACAAATAGATAGCCATTTTATTGTGCTGGGGATCTCTCTGAACCAGGCAGGGTGGCAATGAATCCCAGCACTCAGGAGGCAGAGGTAAACAGATCTCTGAGTTTGAGGCCAGCCTGGTCTACAGATTGAGTTCCAGGACAACCAGGGCTACACAGAAACCCTGTCTCCAAAATCCAAAACCAAAAAGCATTTTATAGGGGACTTAAAAGACTCATTTGACTAAATAAGCAAATAAGCTCCTCTTCAGAACATGTCTGCACTTGCTATTTAGACAAGGTTAGAGATCTCTTTGGAGAAGGTAAAAATTTGCATGTTTCCCTAGGCCTGTGTCTTTCCAATACTAATATTTCACATGAGAAGGGTGACCTGAGACAGTCTGACCTTCTGAAATAATGCAGTGATAGTGAAGTCACCAAAAGAAAATACAGCTATGTCATTATGACCAAGGAGATTCAGCTAAAGGACCTGAGCCCCACAGTTCTTTCTGGTCTTGCTCACTACTGGTGACAAACAGGCATGACACTGCTTTGAGGAAGAAGAACTGGAGTTGACCTCAGACCCATGCTGTCACTGCATGCCGCTGTTAGTCCACCATAAGCACAGAGCACAAAGTGGCACTCTCCATCTTACACAGCAAGCCCAGCATCAAACCTGGATCTCAGGCCTGCTTAATCACCAACACAAAACTCGGGAGGTCACCATTTAGGGAAAAGGTGATGACAGTGAGTTAATGGTCTAAGTCAGAAATGTCAGCCGATCCTTGAACACGCATTAGCAAGGCACATCACCCACACTATAAAGAGCAATGGGTTATGGGTTCTAATGCATTACAATCTACTATCTTTGCACTCTCTGTGATCTTCTACTGCAGCCTCTCAGGTGCTGGGACTGTGTGTTGCAACTCCTGGCAAGGAGAGATGTTGAATGCTCAAGTTCTCATGGGGCTGACTGAATGACAGCCATCGACAGACTAAGTCTAACCTGTCCATTCTGTCAAGCGCTCTACTGGAGCATCCTCACACTAACTAACAGAGCTATTCATCTGTTTCTCTTTCCTTTTGCCAGAGCTTTGTGCTACCTGATAAATCACAGGCTATTTCACTGTCTTTCAAAGCCCTCACCACTGCTTACACAGAAATGAGAAAATACTTTTCTGAATGAGAAGTACTGGTCAGGTAGAGCCCAAGGCCACATTAAATTAATGCATAGCAGCTGTCAAAACAGAAACACAGAAATAAATCCGCATGTAGAAAGTGTCTCTTGGTTCTGATCCAATAAAAACGAAAATTTGTTTACATGACTGGCATTTACATGTGAAAATCAAACACAGAAACTATAAAGCAGGCAGAAATTAAAGAATTAACTCTCAGCCGGGGGTGGTGGTGGTGGTGGTGGTGGTGGTGGTGGCGGCGGCGGCGGCGGCGGCGGCGGCGGCGGCGGCGGCGGCGGCGCACGCCTTTAATCCCAACACTCATGAGGCAAAGGCAGGCGGATTTCTGTGAGTTCAAAGCCAGCCTGGTCTACAAAATGATTCCAGGACAGCCAGGGCTACACAGAGAAACCCTTCGGGGAGGTGGAGGGACAAAGAATTAACTCTCATGTCTGAGGATAAGACAGACAGACCGAGACATTTGCTCATGCACATACACACATACTGAGGATTGGAATGGAAAAGACTTAGGAAATTCCCAAAGTCCTAAAAAGCCTGTATTAAGTGCTTGCCATGAGTTTTCTCGGACTCCTTACCAAAAAAGGAAAAGAAATGCCAGGCACAGAGAGGAGGCCGAAGCTGCACACACAGATAACAGAACAAAGCACACAGAGGAAAGCCAATAGGGACGTGAAGAATCAAGAGTAACTGCTCGATCCCAACCTGTGGCGGCTGTGTGGTGGTGACACGACACTCTCCTTGTCTGTCTCGACTGAACACAACTTTCCAAAGGACCGTGTCAAGGAAGAAGCTCTGAGAGACAGTCCAGTGAGGTAAGAATTAAAAACGCCAGGTCATTCCTTCCAACATGCACATTTCATAACATTCACACAATGCTGCATCATTAATATAAACAATGTGAAAGGCTTTTCATATGGCAAACCTCAGTCAATACTACAAAAGGATAAATAACAACTCTAATAACAAATACAAGTCATAAAATTCTTGATAAAACAAAACTAAGTTTTCTACAAATCAGGTTCTGATCCCCAGTGCTTCCTTAAATTAACAATGCTGATGATTCATAGCCTTTTTCTTAAAGAGTTATTTTCACTTAATATCTAATATTCTGTCTACATCTCTCTACAAACGTTTCATCAGCATCCAATACAAATAATTCTCTAGATAACAGGAATAAAAAATAACATCTGAAAAAAAATGAACCTACACAATAGGAAAGAGAGTGCTTACGATACAGTCTTACTGTGCTTTCTAGGACTCTTGAATAGAAAATACACATTCTATGGAACAACTTAAAATGATCGACTACAAATATTCATGCTCCCATCACATCTCAATTTAAATCCAAGCTATCTTTTTGGGATAGCTGAATTTCAGCATAATTTCTCAATCTAGAATTATCACTAAAATAAATACATACTTTCAAAAGCCTCTACTATACAAGTCCTTAAACATCACAACTTTACCGCTGTCTTGTCTGTTTCTTACACCGATATAAAGAGAAGCTTGAGAACTTACTAGTTCTTTTTAGAGACATTGTCCCGAAGGCTATTTTCTTCTTAAGCGGTACACTCTGCTTTCCATTAGGGAACACAAGCGGTTCTGTGAGCTGCTGGATACCTACTTCTCTTTCTACTCACCACTCATTTTTGCTACCTCACTACCTAATGCCGCCTATGTTCATGAATACAACTCCATCAAATCTCTTGACAGAACTACAGAAAGGTCTGATTGGCAAGCTAAAAGAATTTGCCTAAAATGAAATGAGAGAGTGGGCTTCTGTATAATAAATAATATTACCTGTTCTCCCCACCACTATCATCACCAGCACCTTTAAATCACCCAAGAATCCCAAAGCTGAGTGCTTGCTTACCTCGACCATGATAGACACGAAGGCATTGATAAGAACAATGATAAGCATATATATACGCCACTGGTAGGGTACACACACAATCTAGAAGACAAAAAATTATAGTTACTCTTAATTGATATTACAGCATTACATCATGGTTTTATGAAGTTAGGCATGGTAGCACATGCCTGTAATCCCAGTACTTGGGAGGTAGATAAAAGAAGATCATGAGTCCAGGCACCCTCAGGTACCTAGTGGGTTCAAAGCCAGAATGGGATACTAGAGACCTTTCTAAAAAAAATAAACAAAAAATCTGAGTTTACTGAAATCCTATTACGTACCTATATTCACACACTTTATCCATTTAACTTTCAATAATGCCACAAAGCATGTATCTTTTCACACAATAAAAGTCTATCTCATAATTTAAAAAGTGACTGAACTCAGCATTAAATCTTAAGAGACTCAAAAGTCCATGCCCTAATCTACAGTATTATACATGTCTAACAAGTCTGTATTTTTAAAATAAAAAATCTGCCTTTCAAAAATGAGGCAGAGGTTAGATCAATGGCTCAGTGGTTAGGAGCATGTGCTTCCAAAGGCTCTAACTCTGGTTCCTAGCATCCGGATCTGCTAGCTAACAACTACCTGTTAACTCCAGCTCCAAGGGATTCAATGTCCTCGTCTGGCCTCTGCAGGCACTGAAGTCAGCATGCACGTTCCTCTAGACATGCACATAGTTAAAAAGAAACCTTTTCAAAACATGAGGCGACACTCATTTAATGCTGGCCAAACCTCAAGCTGACTTCCACCTACTTAAGCCTCCAAGCAGCTAGCTTATCATGCCAAGCACATGCCATCATATCCAACTAAAATCTGATTGTTCTCTACAACCTAAAAGATCCTTTCAGTTAGCAAGATACTAGGAGGCCAAGGCGTGAGATGACCTAATGAACTTCACATTAACAATACACTAATGGTCCAGTAAGTTTGAGATGAGGAGACTGGCAAGAGATGCCAGAAGGCCAAACCAGACCAGGGCCAATGAACCTGAAGTAAGGATAGAAGAATCTCCAGAATAGGGAAACTAAACAATGGTAAAAACAAAACAAAGAAGCCACAAAACAAAAACACTTTAAAAAGAGGTGGGATCAAGAGAACCAGCAAAATGGAAAGAGAACACGATACATTTAGCTTTTTTTTTTTTTCGAGACAGGGTTTCTCTCTGTAGTTTTGGTGCCTGTCCTGGATCTTGCTCTGTAGACCAGGCTGGCCTCAAACTCACAGAGATCCTCCTGGCTCTGCCTCCTGAGTGCTGGGGCCCAGCCAATACATTTAGCTTTAAGCCTTAGCATCTAGATGCTGTATGTGTGATGTATGCACACACTTATGTGCACACAGGAGGCCAGAGGAGGATGTCAGTTTCCTGTTCTATCACTCTCCAATTTATGCCCCTGGTGCTGGGATTAGAAGCACACACAACCATATCCAGTGTTTTACGTGGGTTCTGGGATTTGAACTTGGGTCCAGCAAACACTCTTATCCCAAGCTCGTTCAACCTCAAAGTTAGCTTTTTCAAATGCTCCATTTGGGGAACGGCTGTCACTTCGAATTCAGGTCTACAGCTCAGTAGTGACAGCTCATCTGGGGTATAGACTGAACAGTCTTGAACTTACTGATGCCAACTACAAGCAAACCTTGACTACAAGGAGATCATCTGAGTACCGAGCGAAGAGAGAGACACAACCAGAGAGCAGACCCACACCGGGGACCCAGAATGAGGACCACGGCAGGCAGGAAAAGCCAGAGGGAAAAAAGCACCGCAATCTAAGTGGAAGATGTTTGAAAACACTGGCCTGGTTATGAGGCTCAATACTTCAGGAACTAAAGAACAGCTCAGGAAAAAACTTCAAAGAGACACACCCTTTGGATGGAACTACTAAGGTGGTTAATGATCTTGGTCAGGGCAGTTTCACTACATCAGCCATGCTAGGTGACAGAGTGTATGGAGGTGAGCAGAATATGTGTTTAAAACGCTTAACTAAATCTCTCAATGAAACACATGAACACACCCAGACACTGCTCTTCAAAATTCAGTAATGCAGTTTTGATGAGGACTCAAGATAAAACGTCCTGTGGTATGGGTAAGGTCTGTCACTCTTCCAAACTCCTGTGGCAATGTGGTTCCCAATATAAGCGTTAAGGGTAGCCGGGCGGTGGTGGCGCACGCCTTTAATCCCAGCACTCGGGAGGCAGAGGCAGGCGGATCTTTGTGAGTTCGAGGCCAGCCTGGTCTACAGAGCGAGATCCAGGAACGGCGCAAAGCTACACAGAGAAACCCTGTCTCGAAAAACAAACAAACAAAAAAAAACAAATAAGCGTTAAGGGTAAGGGGGCCTTTTTGAGTGAGGACTTTACAGGGATTCCATTTCCAAGGAAGGATGAATGTACTTTCTGCTAAGGTAATTTAGTTATAGCAAGAGCAGGGTGTTCGAAAGTGAACTGGGCCCCATGGCTCTTTATTACTACACTTCTTACTCTGTGACCTCCTCTACACGTGCCAATTTGATTTTCCACCTTTCGGCCCTGAGAGGAGATGGAAGTCCTCACAAAAAGCTGAATTGATGATGCTGGCGCAGTGCTCTCAGACCTCCAGGACTTTAAGCCAAAAAGACCAAAACAAAACCCCCTCTTCTCTCCATAAACTGTCTTTCTTCAACTATTTTGTTATGGCAACAGGAAACGCTGTGGGGCCAGAGTGACAGACAGTTTGGTGGAGGAGAGTACTGGCTGTTTTTACAGTGGATCTGGGTTCAGTTCCCAGCACTAGAATGGTGGCTCACAAATGCCTGTAACACCAGTTCCAAAGGGATCAGTGGTATCCTTTCCTGGCTTACTTGGGTACCAGACAAGCTGCAGTACATATACATGTGTGTAGACACTTACAAACACACATACAACAGATCTTTATAAAAATGAAAACATGGGGGGGGGGGCCTAAGCTAGGTGGTGGTGGTGGCCATGCATGCCTTTAATTCCAGCACTTAGGAGGCAGAGCAAGCAGATCTACAGAGTCAACAAGTTCCAGGATAGCCAGAGCTGTTACACAAAGAAATCATCTCGGGGGTGGGGGGGAAACCAACCAATAACTAACAACAACAAACACACATGGGACTGAAGAGATGGCTAAGAGGCTAAAAGCGTGTGCTGCTCTTCCAAGGTCCCAAAGTCAGTTCCCAGCACCTACTATCAAGTGACTCACAAACTCAACTCCGGTTTCCAGAGGATCTGAGGCCTCTGGCCTGAGGAAAACCTGCACTCAAGTACACATATCCACATGTAAACACACATACAAATAATATAAATCTTAAAAAAAAAACAATAGCAACAACAAAAAAGACAAAACTACACTCCCAGGAATTCCACTTTTGTGCCCTAGCCTATAATACACATTTGTTTGTGTTATAATAACTTAGAACATCAAGATACTGGAAATAACCTAAATGAAGTTAGCTAAAAAAAAAAAAAAAAAAAAAAAAATAGGGAAAAGTCTGTACTACGGATTTCTCTTGGATCTTCTTTTTTTAAAGACAAGGTCTCACTTTGTTGCCCAGGGTAGCCTCAAACTCCTAAGCTCAAGCAATCCTCCTGCCTTGGTATCCCAAATCAGTGTAAATGGATAATGGTGTTTGTTCCCTTAATATAACAGTCTTGCAATACATCTAACAAAAATGTACAAAACATCTCATGGAGAAAACTACACTACTGAAAGGAATCTTCACTGTTTACTCTGTGAGAACGTTTTCAAAAAGGATCTGACTAAGGATGCAGGATTCTAATCATAGGTGCCACCATCCCATGGGTTTGGGGGCCCAGATTGATAAACAGGAAAAGAGGCTCCCCTTCTATTCTGAAGAGCTGTGAGGAGGACAGGACCCAGACTGCAGAGAGCACCAGCCCCTCCCCCCTCCCCCAACACGGAGCTGAGAGCTGTAGGGATCTGAGCACTTCACCTCTCAGTTCCAGGCAGAGATGCTCTTTTATTTGTGCCTGTTTCCTGGAGGGTTTGCTTTTGTCTGTTTGCTGCTGTTAGGTTTGGGAACTGTTGTGTATGTTTTTTCATCCAGTCTACTACAAGGCTTTTTTTTTTTTTTTTTTTAATTATCCCTTTCGTCTATATCTCAAATACTTTACCCCTTATTTTAATGTCTTTTCCTTTTTCATTGTTTTTTGTTTGTTTGTTTGGTTGGTTGGTTGGTTTTTTGAGACAGGGTTTCTCTGTAGCTTTGTGCCTTTCGGGGATCTCGCTCTCTAGACCAGGCTGGCCTCAAACTCACAGTGATCCACCTGCCTCTGCCTCCTGAGTGCTGGGATTAAAGACGTGTGACACCACTGCTCGGCTCCTTTTTCATTCTTAATCCTGCCTCTTTTTACCTATCAGTTATAACCTTCCACAGCCTGAACAATTTCTACCATCTGTAGGCCCTAACAGTATCTCAACTTCCCTCTCCTTGATTCTTTTTACAAAGCTGAACTCATCCTTATCCTCACCCTCCCAACTTTCCTCCTAATCCTAACCTCAGTAACGAAATCCCAGGATACTCCATATTATCAGTGGTAGTTCATTCTCCAACAGACTGGTTACCACATCCGTAAAGATAATGTCCAGCAGCTGTGGTTACTATTCTCAGGGAATAGACAGAGCCCACCACCAGGAACTCCTTTCTAAACTGACCCTCAACTCTACCATATCCAAGTCTCACAATTAGCACTCCAATTGAAAGAATGTATCTTATTAAAAAAGAAACATTCCTAGTAATGAAATAATTCCAGATATGTGAACTCCAAAGAAGTAACGTAAGAAATTGGAAAAAACAACTCTTCCAAAAATTACTAATCCTACAGTAATGGCATCTAGTAAGAATGAATTATATGAAGCCCCGGCAGAGAATGCAAAAGGTAAGCATGCCTGAAGAAATCAAAGAAGATAAGCTGCTGAATGGGGACATAAGCAACTGAATGAAACAGAGAAGGCAACGCAAGGCTCTAAAGAGAGACGGAACTCCTAAAGAAAAACTAATCTGCATGCTGGGAACGGAAACAAGTCAAATAAAAATCTCCCTGCAAAGTTTCAGCACCTGAATGGACCAAGGGGAGGAGAGAAAGTGGAGGAACTAGAACAAACCAACACAGAAGAAGATAATTAATAAAGTTACCAACGAGAATTTTAAAAAGTGTGACACTCTATAAAGACCAAATATACGGGTTATAGGCACAGGAGAAAAATCTCATTCTAAAGGCAGAGAAACATTAACAAGATTTCTTCATGTTAGGAAAAGATGCCAACCAAGTTCTAGGAGGCATTGAGGACCAAACAGGCAAGACCAGAAAAGAATCTCCTCGGTCACAGCACAATTAAAATAGTAAATTAAAAGCAGCAGGGGGAAAACCAACAAGTCATATATCAAGGCAGGCTTATCAGGAGAAGAACAGGTCATGCGACTAAAATTTTAAGAGTCAGAAGACTTGGAATGATGTCTTTCAAGTTCTGAGAGATAACTGCCAACCCAGAATACTATACCCAGCAAAGCTGTCATAACTGAAAGAAAAATAAAAACTCTCCATGATAAAAATAGACAAAATTTGTGATCACTAAGCCAGCTCTATATAGAAGATACTTTAAGGAATTTTTCATACTGAAGAGAAACTGATCCATCCATAACACTACAGAATAAAACAAACTACATAATGGTGTGGAATATTTAAGATGTGCTGCATTCATTTATGCTGTGAAATATTTGTTTAATGATGCAAAGATGTGTTGTATTCTTATATGTTGCATTTGTTTAACTCTGTGAAGCTGTGTTACTTTGCCTGCCTAAAATACCTGATTGGTCTAATAGAGCTGAACAGCCAATAAATAGCTAAGTTGGAGAGAGAAACAGGTGGACTGCCAGGCAGAGAGAATAAATGGGAGAAGAAATCTAGGCTCGAGAGAAGAGGAGGAGTGAGAGAAGGATGCCAGGGGCCAGCCACCCAGCCAGCCAGAGTCAAAATGGAAGAGAAAGAGAGATCTATAGAATAAAGAAAGGTAAAAAGCGCAGAGGAAATGTAGTTAAAGAGAAACAGGATAATTTAAGTTAGAAAAGCTGGCTAGAAACAAGCCAAGCTAAGGCCGAGCATTCATAAGTAAGAATAAGTCTATTTATTTGGGAACTGCGTAGCAAGCAATGAATAAAAAACAAAACAAAAGAACTGCATAACTGTTAAGTGAGAGGGGGGAAAAAGAAAAAAAGCACTGCCCAAAATCAAGAAAATGACAAGAATCAATACACAACCTTCCATGGTAAGTGAATATTAATGGCCTCAATTCCTAAATTGAAGACCCAGTATAGAAAAGAAAAAGAAAAAAAAAAAAAAAAAAAAGCAAGAACCATTAATTCGCTGCCTCTAAGAAATGTACCTCACCACAAGACCGACATACCACCTTAGGGTGAAAGGCTGGGTAAAAGGTACTGCAAGCAAATGGACCTAACAAACAAGCAGGTGGTTTACTATCTGACAAGAGACTGGAAGTCAAAACAAGTAATGAAAGACAGTCATTTCACACATCAAGAGGACATTAAAACTGTAAATGTTTGTGTCCCAAAGACAGCTGCACTACTTTCAGAAAACAAATACTATTAGAAGTGAAGCCACAGATCAACCCTAAAGCAATAGTAGTGGGTAACTTCAAACCCCTGACTCTCTCAATTGGCAGATCTTCTTGACAAAAAAAATAAAGACGATAATTAGACGATATCATAGATAAATGGCCTTTAAGAGACACCCACAGAACATTCCATCCAAACATTGCAAATCCATTATTTTCAGCAGTCCATGGGACTTTCTATAAAATAGATCAACATTAAGAAAACTCATAAGAAGTGTAGGAGACACGAAGTTAAGCACTAGGGGGAAAAGAATGTTAAACATACAGGACTGTCTCTTTAAAGAAGTGTTTCCAAAGGCTGCGAGTGGATGTGGCTAGTAGCCTGGTGACCTCTGCACCAACCATATGGCAAGGCCACACCTGACTCCCCCAGACTCTTACATTTATCTCTATAGTGCTACATAATGCTGTCCTCTCCCAAACCTTTATCATGAGCTGTTTACCTCGAGCCAGCTTTTCCCAGTTAATCAATCTACAGAACCTAGCTTTACGGAAAATGCCACTTGTACTTTATAAAGAGTTTTGATGTAATCATGTCTTAAGTTTTATTGTACACATGGGATTGAGTTAATTATCGCAAGGGAACTTTCCCCAAAATTATGCTGTGCTTAAATATGCCTGAAACAAACTGCCTGGTGTCAGACTCTCAAGTTTGAGGCAACACTGGCTACTGAGTAGTATTGAACCAGACTTCCTTCTTGCCTAACACAGATTGGCACTCTGCTGGCTCTGATGTTGGCAGAGACCCCCCCCCCCCCCACAAGGAAGAACAAGACTCTACTTGATCAAAGTAATCTTGAGCAAAAATAACACTGCTGGAGGTATAACCATAATGGATATCAAGTTATGCTGAAGAGCCACAGTAACAAAAGCAGCATGGTACTGGCAAACACCACCACCACCTCAGACACGGAGGTCAATAGACTAGAAGAGAGGATTCGTCAGAGTCTACACAACTATAGCAACTCCATTTTCAACAAAGATGCCAAAAGCACACGGTGGAGAAAAGACAGCATTTTCAACAAAATATGATGGGAAAACTGAAGACCAAAATGCAGACTGAAACTAGTTCCTTATCTTAACTCCAAATGGATAAAGAACCTCAGCACAAGAGCTGAAACTCTGAAACTGCTTCAAGAAAAAGGTAGAGTACACATTAAGATATTGGCACAGGGAAGGAATTTGTGAATAGGACTCTGACCACTCAGGCAGGAAGTAAGATCAATAGCAAATAGGATTGCATGAAAATAAAAAGCTTCCGTACAGCAAAACCACCACCAACAAAATCCTGTCAACCCACTGAAGAGGCAGCCTATGGGTAAAAAAAAAAAAAAAAAAAAAAAAACTTTGCCAGTTATACATCCAACAGAGGATTAGTATATAGAATATACAAAGAATTCAAGAAACTAAACAGTAAAAAAACAGCACCACCCCAAACAAGGGAGTGGGGTACTGAGCAGTGAGTGTCCCCCCCCCAAAAAAGGGGCAAATAAACATTTAAAAGTATTCAACACCAGTAGTCACCTCGAAAACAAACCCAAACTGCTTTGAGATCCAATTTCACCTAGTCAGAATGGCTAGCATCAAGAAAACAAACGTTACCAAATGCTGGTGAAAATGTGAGGAAAGAACCCTTAATCCACTGTTGGTGGGAGTGTGAACTGGCACAGCCACCATGGAAACCAGTGGTTTCTAAGAAGCTTAAAAAACTGAATTACCACCGGGTGGTGGGGGCGCGCACCTTTAATCCCAGCACTCGGGAGGCAGAGGCAGGTGGATCTCTGTGAGTTCGAGGCCAGCCTGGGCTACCAAGTGAGTCCCAGGAAAGGCGCAAAGCTACACAGAGAAACCCTGTCTCGAAAAACCAAAAAAAAAAAAAAAAGTGCCATTTCATACCGTGGTCCGCTTGCATGAGAATGCCACATCATTCTTTCTCATCTCCTTCTTTGCTTTAAAACTTTTTATATTACATTTTAGTGTGTGTGTGTGTGCGTGTGTGTGTGTGTGTGTGTGTGTGTGTGTGTGTGTGTGTGTGTGTGTACGTGTGTGTGTGTGTGTACAGGAACACTCATGTGGAGGACGGAGGATAATTTTCAGGAGTTGGCTCTCTCCTTCCACCATGGGGGTCCAGGGCTCGAACTCTAGTAGTCAGCCTTGGTAGCAAGAATCTTTACTTACTGAACCATTTTGCCTTCCCCCAATTTTGATTACTAAGAAGCAGCACCATATTTCCTTAGTATCTGTCAGAGCTGTTCAATCTGTCTTTCTCACCTCTCCTTTTACCCCTTTGTTAACTCACATCCTAGAAACTGGCTGTGCCTGGCTTTGGTGGTGTATGCTTACAATATTAGCACCCGGGAGGCTGAGGATCCTGAATTCAAGGCCAGCCTGTGCCACAAAACCAAAACGGGGTGGGGAATTGGTGCAACGGTTGAGAACGATGCATTCTTGCAGAGGACCGGGTTCCAGGTTCGGGTCCTTGTCCTGGTGCCTTCGCGGGCACCTACACGCACGTGAACATACACTCAGACCCACGCATATACATATAAGAATATTTAAAAATAAAGCAGTAACCTGTACCCTGGCATCACTCCCGCTGGAGACCTTCCCACAAAGCCTAGCCTTTCTTCTGTTCTTTTGCGGTTCAGTTTGTGATCTCTTGATTTAAATGCTTGGTGTCTCCCAACACCAACAGGTGTTAAATCAGGATGGACTGAAGTGAAGTTAATCGAATTTGAATTATATTAGTTTTATTGTCTATCTTGACCTCCAACAGAGTCCGATTTCCAGAGTAAAGTGTGACAGGAGTGCACCCTCGCATTCCTGACCATCGTTAACTGGAGTTTTCAATCCAGGTACCCTGCCTAGCCAAACTAGCCTAGCACGCGGCTAGAGTCTGTGTGCCCGGGTTAGCTCAGCCTGGGATTGGGTAGGGCAGTGCATGTCGGGAGTGGCCAGTCTTCGAAGGGCTTATTGGGAATTGTAGTCTTTGGAGCCGGAAGTGGGGGTGGCAGGGGTTAGAACCGCAGCTGAAGCAGCAGTCCTTGGCGCTGACGCCGCCAGGGTGTAGTGCAGGGTTCCGAGCCCACCAGCCGTGGTGCCTCCCCTGTCCTGAGGGTGCAACGGGCGCCCTGGCGACCGAAGCGGCCGGGAGCCTCTCTTCAGCCCGGAGACGGCCTTGCAGTCCCGGATGCGTCCGGAGGGCGCGGGAATGGATCTTGGCGGCGGCAGGGAGCGCCTGCCGGAGGAGAGCAGGTGGGCTGGGAGCGGCTGGCAGTCAGTCGGGGCTGCTGGGTGCGCGCGAGCACCGGGAGACTTGGCACGGCTGGGGTGACACGCAGTGCGGGGCGCGGCAGACCTGAGAGCGACTGCCGCGAGTGACTTGTTTGGGAAGAATTTCCAAGAGGGCGTGTATAAGGACAGGGAGGAGAGTTTAGGGACGGAGAGTGAGGGTGGGTATGATTCGTTAGGGCCGGGAATAGAAGACAGTGAAGCCAAGATCCAAGACTGCTGGAGGAGCGAGGAGTACTGAGTCTGGGAGAAAGGACTGGGGTGCTGTAGTGAGATTTTATAGGCCAGACTCTGTAGATAAGAGCAAGGGGACAAGGTTGGTGCCCTGCCTTAAAACTTGTGGTGACAACCCAGACCGATATTAGGAGGGTGATGTAAGGATTTCTGGGAGCCAAGGTTTTAGGTTATGATTGGCCCAGGAAGGTTAGAAAGGGATGAACGTGGATGAGGAGGAGAGGACGGCCTGTGTGTAAAAAGCCACTGATTTCACTGGGTGTGGGCTTGCTGAAGGGACAGAAATTGTGTGCGTGCCCTTTGTCAGTGAGATCCCGCTGCTCTGAAAGGACTTCTGTCATTTCCTTTTCATCGGCAACCCCTTCACTTCTTTCTTCCCCACAGTGCAAACTAAAAGCAAGTTCAAGTTTATATGGAACTATTGTCAGAAAGTCTTAGCCTCTAGAAATAGGGGCTTTTAAGATTTATTTTCTTTTTTAATTTAAACAATTACACCCACGTATGTGTGTGTGTGTGTGTGTGTGTGTGTGTGTGTGTGTGTGTGTGTGTGTGTGTGTGTGTGGTGTGTACGTGTGTACACGTGCGGAGGTTAGAGGACAGCTTGGAGGAGGCAGTTCTCTCCATCCACCATGTGGATTCTGAGACTAGAATCAGGTTGTCAGGCTGGGGGGCAAACACTTTACTCAGAGAACCATTTCACCAGCCCAAATTAGGATTTAAAAGCTGCTTTAGCTCTGTGATCATTTAGACTTTGTAGAGATGTGTCTCCTGTTTGGGATTTGCCTCACTAACAACTGGTCTGAGGTTTGGGAGTGTAATTCATGGTAGAGTACAGGCCTAACGTGCAGGTGGCCCTGGGTTCCATCCCTAGCACCACGAGAACAACAGGAGCAGGTCTTAACCTCTTAGGAGGATGCAGGAGCAGAGACACACAGAAATATGGCAGAAGGGCGTCTTTCTTGACACTTAGAAATAGGTTCAGATACAGTGATGCTTTCCAGAGCAGGTGAAGGCGAAAGACTAGAAACAAAATAATCTCCCTCCATATTCTCAAGGGGGAATTGAAAACTGGTTGGGTGAAGATATCCCCGCTATGATTTCTTGAGTACGAGGTGGTTGAACCTGGAGTTTTTGCCTGAGGTCTATGAATGGTGTATACCAAATGAAACTGAATGTTTTACTTCCTTTTTCTACATTTTAGTTTCTGCTTTTGTATATTTGGCTATGTAGTCTTCCTCCAGATGTCTGTGAAGTATTTTATGTAAAAGATACCTTGTAGCTGCCAAACAGGCTTTAGGTTATTTTGACTTTCCTGTGCTATCTCGGGTGGAGCAGGCTGGGTCAGATTTAAATTGGGTTTTTCTTCCCCATTTAGCTGGAGCTTCATTAGTTAGTTATTTATCCATGACTCATTTGCTGTACGCCAGACGCGGTCTTGACAGCATTATGGATGCTAACTTATTTACTGTCTTAACAATTGCGAGGTACCTGCTGTACCATTATCACTTCCCAGATGAGGAAGCAGGGACACGGACGGGATCAGTGACTTGTGGTTATGCATGGACCTCTGGTGGAACTGAGACTCACACCCAGTTCTAATATCTCTACTCTGCTGCCGCCCAATATGATAATGTGACAGGTGTACACAATAATGCTTTAATTTTTACCGTTCTGTGCCTGTCATCTAGGTGGGTGGGACAACTCCTTTGCAGGTGTATTTTTTCTGTCGATTACCACTTTTATACTTGCTTCTTAACTAGAGTACTTTAAACAATTTCAGCAATGGGCTCCCCCTACCGCTCCCCCCGCCCCACACAGTCACTCACTCAAACTTGTTGTAAGGCTACTCTCTATTGGTGGCTGATTAGTTCAGATTGTGTTTTCAGTGAAGCTTCATGGTACTGATGGCCTCCTTAGTTCCAGATAGACACTAGTAAATCAGGCCTTATGTGTGAGAATTGAGGCATTGTGGCTGGGCCACTGCAAACATGACCTTTTTATGGTCACTACAACACACAGTTCAGAGAGCCATCTCGATGAGACAGCAGCAGTTTTCAAGCATGAAGGAGATACAGTTTTCCAATGAAAGCACTTGATAGTGAAATGTGCGTAATTTAAACCCACCAAAGCTTCTCTTTTGTTCTTATCTCAGTCAATAGCATTTTCCACTCAGTCAACCAAGCCAGAGCCTCACAGTGAAATTTCAGACATCTCTTTTCATTTCTTATATCCAAAGCTATAGTAGAAGCCTAGCTTGTGTGCTTGACTTGGTCATCTTACTGGGCCCTGCCTGAGTAAGGCAGTGCTCTTCCCTGCTGGACGATCATAAGGATTCAATAAGATAATGAGGTCAGGTTCCTCACAGAATGCCTGGTATGTACTAAAGTACAGACGGTTGTTTGCTTTGTCCAGTCTCCAGTTTCCATGTGCTAGGTGTGTTGTCCACAGGTTATTATTCCCAGCAGTGTGATTTTTTTCTTCCTATTTCCATGGCTCCTCTAGCTAAGTTGAGCTCGTGGGAGATTGGGGTGTTGACCTAGCTCTTAACTTCATCCTAGAAGTGCACTTACATAATAGGTTCTCCCATTGTTTTCCATGTAGTTAACTATCTGATAGCAGAATACCACTGTGCTTAAGAATGATATTTATCAGCCGGGTGGTGGTGGTGGCGGCGCACGTCTTTACTCCCAGCACTCAGGAGGCAGAGGCAGGCGGATCTCTGAGTTCGAGACCAGCCTGGTCTACAGAAGTGAGTTCCAGGACAGCTGGAGCTGTAACACAGAGAAACCCTGTCTTGAAAAACAAAAAAACAAAAACAAAAGAAGAATGATATTTATCCTCCCCTAAAGTTTCCGTAAATGCTGGTTGTTTGGGAGTTGTCTCCTGAAACCGTCAGCTAGAACAGTAGTCCTTCAAGCGTTCCTTTGTCATCCTAGACGTCCCTCGGCCACGCAGGCTACTTGAGAGCTAGGAATTCTGCTCTAGCCAGGGCTCAGTTTTCCTGGTGCAGTGGCCCAGAGGCAGAATTAAATAGGAGCGCATATTTTAGTGACTCTGACACCCAGAGGACCAAAACTACCTCCTTCTATGTCCTCAGCCCCAGTTTGTAGCATTTTCTATTTAGCCAACTGAGCCAGAACCTCACAATAAAATTGGATACTTCCCTCTTCTCCTTGTTCCTTATCCAAGCAGGCACTAGTGTCTGTCACTTCTGTGACATTTTCTTCAATTCTTTTTTTTTTAAAACATTTACAGATATAAAGGTTTATAGTTCTTAAAAAAAAAAATCCAAGGTATAGAATTGCTTTTAGGCACAGCCCAACCTTGGTGCTGAAAGTTAGGTGTTTGCCCCTGTCTCTACGCTGGGTTCTGGCTTGTTGGTTTTCTTCTCAAGGAGACCTTCTCCAGGGAGACCTTAGCAACTCCAAACCTGGCAATCTCAGCAGCAGTAACAGAAAGGATGCAGTCCAGCAGCTCCAGCAAAAGTGGGCATTCCGGGGCCGACCGGCTGGTGCTCTTACAGTCAGAATGTAGAGCACATTGCTCACTTGGGCCTGGACTGTGTTGGCCTTCAATGATGGATCCTAGGGTAGGATGAAGCCTCTGTAGAACTTCATTGACCAAAATAAGTGAAGAGGTGGTTCCCCTCTGGAAAGTGGTTCCATTTTCAGCAGGTCCTAAGTTCCAGGCAGGTGCAGGTGCATATGGCCATTTGCAGACATAATCTCACAGTGGAGATTATTCTAGCAACTGCTTAACTAATTGTCCTCTCTAAATGCGGTCTCCATACAGTTGCTTATTCAATTTTTCAGAAACAAAGTCACTGCAGTGTTTGCTCAGGGATGTTCAGCGATTTCTCCCCCCTGTAGTGTGTATATACAATGGAGTTTCTTCAGCCATAGTGATGAAGTTACATTGTTTGTCGGAAAATGGACGCTCCTGAGGACAGTCATATAGTCCGTCTCAGAAGGTTAACTATCCCATTGCCTCTTATTTTTCTCTCCTTCTTATTCTTTATAGATCCATACGGTCATAGATGTACTGACGACATGGACGTAGAAGTGAAACTGGGGAACAAAGGGGGCAGTGGGAGGGAGGAAAGAGGGGAGCGCAGTGGGGTGTGAGGGCATGTGCTCACAGCACAGTATATACTTGTGTGAAAACAGTTTATAATTAGGAAGAATGTCAAATTGTAATATAGAATTCAGCAATTAAAGAGAAAAAAAGAAAATACAGTCCCAAGTCCTTACACTAGGATTCAGTTTGAGTTTGAGTCCCCCTGAAGTTCCTAGTCAGGGCTTCGTGACAGTCGGTCACCTAGACTTTTCTCAGCCTTCTCAGCCTTGCTTCTGAGCGCTCCTTGCAATGTCTCTCTCCTCCTTTGCCTGAAGAGCTTAGTCATCCTTTAAATGATGCTCTTTAGCCGGCATTCCTGCCCTGTTCTTTCCATTTCTCCGTCACAACCCTCTCTTTCTCTCCGCGCATTTTCATGTATCATCGTTTTTCCCCTGCACGCTTTTCTTTTTCACCTTGATAAATCAGACAGTGCATCGGGACGGGTGGTAAAGCAGGTGGTCGTGTGAATCTTGAGCATCCTGCACTCTGTAGTTCAGTTTGTATCAAACGCATGCCACTCCTGCCCCTTTCCCTACTCCCCTGCCTGCAGATGTACCCTTGAAGCTTTGAGGAAAGTGCTTTCATCAGAATGCAGGAGGGGGAGGGATGTCAGC